AAGAGGAAATATTCTGAAATTGAAAATCACGAAGTTGAATTCGTGAAGTTGAAATCGTGAATTCATGAAGTTGAAATCGTGAATTCGTGAAGTTGAAATCGTGAATTCACGAAGTTGAAATCGTGAATTTGTGAAGTTGAAATTGTGAATTCGCGAAATTGAAATCGTGAATTCGTGAAGTTGAAATCGTGAAATCACGAAGTTGAATTCGTGAAGTTGAAATCGTGAATTCATGAAGTTGAAATCGAGAATTCGTGAAGTTGAAATCGTGAATTCACGAAGTTGAATTCGTGAATTCGTGAAGTTGAAGTCGTGAATTCATGAAGCTGAATCGTGAATTCTTGAGTTCCGTATTTTGAAAACGGGAATTCACGAAGTTTAAATTGTGAATTCATGAAGATGAAATCGGAAGTTGAAATGGCCCGACCGGTCTTTCGTACATAACAATTGAACTTCACTGTTTGCAAATAATGCACAAGAAAAAAAAGTAGGACATTTCTCGAGTTAAATTTTTATAAAGTTCATTGAACAAAGAAAGCTGAATGCATATAATATTCGGAAGAGGTGGGGTCCTTGAAAAAAAAAATAAACGATACCAAATTCCTGTCAATAACCGAGACTCTGGTCGTAAACGGTGGAAAGTACAATTCTCTTTTAAAGTAAAATTATGACCATCCAAGGTTATATTATGAGTGAAAAGGTAAAAGTCAAAATAAGTTTGCCATAATTTCTTTTCAATTTTATAATTTACTTCGCATGAACGATAAATAACTCACGGGGCATAGAAGAGTTGGGCAGTCTTTAATTATTATATTGTTTTATCTTATTTTGGTCAGTCATCATTATAATAGTCAATCTTTTGAAATATAAAGTGAATTCAGGTCGACTTGGCAATGAAAAAATGAGCACAATTTCACTTCAATGTATCGGTATTAGTAACTAAATATTCATTGAAACAATTTTAAAACCTTATTATTCATAATTTGTATGCGTTTATACCCTTGAAAAATACATTTATACCATATCATCAGAAACAATACTTAGAAAACACTTATGTCATTATTTATTTTTTTTAATTTATTGTTTTATTTATTTATTTATTTATTTATTCATTCATTCATTCATTCATTCATTCATTCATTCATTCATTCATTCATTTATTTATTTTATTTTATTTTATTTTTGTTTAGAACAATTCAACAGATTTTGCTTTCGGTTATTTTTTCATCTTCGTTTACAAATTTCTATATAATAATTTTTAAGTATTCAAAGCTGCTGTACAAGAATCATTTCCTGCTTGCATGTAGTTTACAAAACAATTGTTTGGATTTGGAAAAAAAAACATACTCCCGAAATACCTTATTTGTATATGTCCTTAATAGCCAATGGCGCATGCATGAAATCATTGAAAATAGTATAATATTTTGTTCCAGAATATTTCATTCTGATCATGTGTTTTTTGTTTGTTTTTTGGGATTTTTTGGGGTTTTTTTGTTGTTTTTGGGTTTTTTTTTGGGAGGGGATTAAGGACTTGCTATAATCTGTGCATGGTTTGTAAATGTAACGGAAGTTATCTTAACAGTAAGACGAGATTACATAAAATAAACAACTCTTGAAAGATAGTTTAGACATAAATGTCATAAATTTAGGTTGGTTAGTTAGAATAAAGATAAAAAAATAGACATTTTGCATTGATTTTACACGATGAAATATATTAGGGTACACTTTTGACGAACTTTTCGATAAACCATGATTTTTGTTCCCTGTTTACAAATGTGATAACATTGCAATGCCATCATCAAATCAATCAATCCAAATTATTCATTCAGCGAATCGAACAAGATCGAAACTTGATATAAATGTACATCAATCATTTTTAAAAACTTCACGTGGGTTATTTGAGAAAATTCCGGTTTCTCTTATATTTAAAACGCATGGCCAACTCGAAGTTCTGCAGCCAACACTGATTACTGTAAATCTTTAGTTTATTAATAAAATTTACTTCACCGGTTTTCATCAAGGAATATGATAAAGTGATTAATCACATTGTTTCTACTTTACGATACATTTATCTATGCGACTATCTATCTATCACTATTATTAGAAATACAATAAATAAACATGTTTTAATAAAACATATTTTGACTTTAATTTAAATGGTCGCAAAAGATAAAAAAATGCCATACTTTGTAGCTTATGTGAAATGTGTTTCGAGGCACAAATTTGCTGCAGACAGTGGATTTTATCAAAATGTAATGGCATTTATAACAGTACAATATACGAAAATAGAATTATGAAGGTGTTAGCTGTTATATTCAATGGAAAATTTTCATCATCAACGATGAATTATTCACAAAGAAAAGAGAGAAAAAGAAAATAGTCCACTTACTTTAGGTTTCGTGTATAGAAGTTCAATATCAAGTAAAATTGTAAACGTAAAAGAAGACAAGATACTGATCTACATGTACTTCTTATGAATTGCAGCCGTGTCTGTACTGCATCAGTCCATTCTTAAACATGTTTAATGGTCTAACAAAACAACCCTTTATAGACAAACACTCTTATCAAGTACTTGCCATTTCAGTTCCCCCTTTTAAACGAGAGGTTTAAATCTGTGGGTCAATTTCGTCTTCAGTTTTTTTTCCTCATAGTTGTGTTGTCAGAAGTAAAAGTAACTTTAAAACTAATTTAGATCATTTAATATACGGGTGTCAGTGATTCTGTCTTCATACCCTCGTATCAGCATCTTAGTGACAGTAATATGCGTCGTCTATTATAGGGCATTATCTCATTAGATGTGACACTACGGTGTCGTAAGGGCGGCGAGACAACATCCAACATTTACGGACAATTTAAGGAAGTACCTAAAAATTCGTCGTTATCTCCATTGTTTGTCCATGTTGGCGTCTTTATTAAAGGGGGGCGACTCGCATTTTTTAGTGTCAAACCAAAAGAGATGCCATTTTTGAATTGCCGCCCTTTCAAATAAAAAACCGCGCAATGGTATGTCTTACTAAACATGACCACTACCTAGTCCTAGAATACTGTAATTCAAAGCGTTATAATCGATTTTGTACTTTAAAACAGGCAATGGTTACGATGTCACTCTTATATATACTCTTTGTGAGTAAAAACCTGACTCACGTGAAATGAATGTCTGGTGTATAATTCAAAGGCATTTGCTATTTCTCATTAAAAATTCATCTTACCAGTGCATGATAGCATTGTTTACATCCACTTCCGGTTAACCATCGTCTGCAAAGACACAGAGAGAAATAGGAACTTTACCGAGGTCCAACAGCCCAAAGACATACACTTTTCAATTCTTACAATGATAAACTAGGACAATTTAAATCATTGTGTAAATGAAAAACACATGTTTGCAAACGTTATTATACAAATATTCTTATAATTAAATTAAAAATCGCTTTTACGTGCGATTTCTAGCCAATTTTTATGAATTTTCTGTGCGATTTCTAGCCAATTTTTCAATTTCGAGTCATTTTGCAACATAATATTGATTATTTTGATCAAACGGAATGAGCTAATGACATTTTGCGGGCAGGCCAACATCAAATGGTATACAATGTTCAAATAAAATATTTCAAGTCCTATCATGTCAACAAGTATGCGACTAACAAGGAAAAACGTGGAATATTTCCGTGTTTTGGTTGGTTTAAATATAACTTGTTGTGTAAATATACACCTTTATCGCCATTTAGGTGGTGCAGTGTAAAAAGTGTATAGGCACTAGGTAGCAGGTAAGAAGATTTTACTAAAGAGACCAATTTCACAACTAGACCTATCACTGAATGTGATAAATACCCCCACCAGCAACTTTGACTTTTTGAAAAATAAGTAGTCTGATGAAAAAATTTTGAACTCAACTTATGGTAAATAAAGTAAAAACTGTGTATACAGATTTATTTCAGTTAATTGTATCTTCATATAAACTTGCTATATATCAAGTTTGATTACAATTTCTCATTCCTAATTTTATTTACTAGTATTGTCCAAAGTGGCAAACACATTTTTCTATTTTTAGTAATGATTGACCTTGACCCCAGGAGGTCCAAATGCAATACCAACTAAGGTCTCCACATAAGCTTGCTATACACCAAGTTTGATTAAAGTATCTCATTCCAAACTTTAGCTGTTGGTCGTAAACCATTTTTATATTTTAAGTCACGGTGACCTTGACGGTAACCCCAGGGGGTCCAAATGCAATACCACCCAGGGTTTCCACATAAGGTTGCTATATACCAAGTTTGATTACAATACCTCATTCCAAAATTTAGTTATCATTAGGAAACCATGAAGTGGACCGACCGACGGACGGAGTGACAAGCTGACTCCTATGTAACTTCGTTTGTTGGGGGTATAATAACGGAACAGAACAGTACTTTATTCTCTAAAGAAACTAATTTACCAATAAAATGTTTGCAGTTAATAGAGACTGTTCGTGGACGGTAGTGGTGATGTAAAGTACCGTCCTTGTACACTTTCAACGGCCAAATCATAATTCAAAATTTAATTATGAAAATGGTGAAAATTAGACTCGGGTGTATGGTCCTCAAATAAAGGAACGTGTGTGTCCTTAATGAGAAAACAACAGGCAAAACTAAAACAAAAATAGATTTTAGAGAAGGCGGCCGGAGGTTAACACAATATTCGATACACAGTTACTTCCCTTCCTTGTACATATTGTAGGATTTAGTACATTTTAATGGTTAAAGCCATTTACATTGTATTTAAAAAGATGACATGTCGACTCCATGCCAGTACTAATCTAAATTTCTAAAATGTCAAATTTGAAATCAAATTTCAGATAAACAAATTTAAAGACTGCCCTTTTGAGACTCCGCAAAAAAAAAATAGACTTGGACATTTCGAGAACCCTCTCTCGAAGTTTAAAGTAGTTTCAAAGAAAAGCTACAATAATTTTTAAAGCTTATGTAATTAGTCATAATAAAACTAACAAAAGGATAACAAAAACTGAATATATTTTTAACTTTAATGTCAAAAAGTTTACAAAAATACTAACCATCAACCCAAAGCTAGTACATGTATATTAAACTTTTTCATTAATTGTAACAAGACAAATTAAATAATTATCAGACAATGTACTTGTAGTACTGTGCACTATGCCCATACTGACCACTCTATTATTTTATGATATTACACACTGTGAAACAATACTATATTTACCAGGATCAGATAAAATAAAAGCCTCTTGAAAAGATTCATTTTATACTGTACAGAATGGGAAGTTATTAATTTAAAGAGAACATTTTGATATTGAAAAAGATCTATAATACATATAATAATATGTTTAACTGATAACCTCAAAGTGAAATCTCCGATATGGCTATGAGATCTCTAATTTAACTATAACCTCAAAATGAGATATCTGATAAGGCTATTACCTCAAAATAAGATCTCTCATTTTTGCTTTAATAAAAATAATATCTCTAGATTAACTATAAAAAAACCTCAAAATGACATATGTGATATGGATATATTACCTCCAAACAAGTTCTCAAATATGGCTTTAACCCCAAAATGAGACTTACTTAATCTTAAATGCACTGCCATGGAAATTAAATTCAAAATAAAACCTTGAAACCACTGGGACCTCATTAATATCAGACACTGACTAAAAAATTTGCCAAAGAAACATTTTATCAAAATTGAACATATTTATGATTTAGCCTTGTTTTTATAACAGCTTTGATTTAATACATATTGTATTATATTTAGCGCATCAATCCTAGTATCACATGTACAAGTTGCACTGTACTACACAAAAATATTTTTCATTTGATTATAAATGAATAATGACTGTTATTTTCAACAATTTTTCACTGTTTAATAGAATACAGTAACATACATGTGCAAAAATTAGTATGTCAACAGAAAATAACAAAGCAGTACATAAGTGTTGTTCATTATCAATAAATTTGCATAGCATGTAGGAATAAATACATAATCTCATGTAAATCAGAAACAATTAACAAATAATATGTGTTTAAGATAAATTACACAATATGACTTTGATTGCACGATCAAAAGTGCATGTAAATGTCCCTTACAAAGTATGACACTTTAAACACCCTCAAAAGTTATATTTACAAGTAAATTGTTTCTGAAAAAAAAAATGAAAAAATATCACATTTACATTACACCATCCCATCCACTGAGGCACACCTCCCTAACAGTTAATAAAGAGACTTCACGTCCCCATCCCAAATTGAGCATAATTTATATCTTTAAACACAAATATTTATTTTATCATGTTTAATCCCAGAACATTTACTTGACCATGTATACAAAACTATCATATTTACATGCCTAACATGTTGATAAAGAATACATTTCCATTTCTTGAAATGAAGAACAAAAATTTGTTTGAGCATTATCTTTTGCTGAACGCCAACTTCCTGTTGTTTTGTATCCAACAAACCAAATATGATAAGATCTTACAAAAGAAATATCCAATTTACAGTTTTTATTTGCATTTTCTACTTTTTATTTACATCTTTCAATCCTATCCAAATCACAAACATACGGAAATCAATTTGTCAAAAGTAGAAAAATAAAAGCCAAATAAGAATGACTTAAAGGGGTAAAATGCAAATATTACAGCACTTCTATTTTACATACCCATGATATGTACTTCACACACTTACACACACATGTCGGGACAAGGGACTACAAACAATTCTAATATTCAGAGTGAAAAGCACATATTTTAAAACATTTCAAAAAGCACTTATTTCAACACTATTTTTATTATATTCACATGTTATGGAACAATTTTTTGGAATGCTTATGATTTAATAACAATTTTATTGAAGAAAACAAATGTGTCAAACACATAGCTCCAAGTCAAAAGTTGATGTATAATTTTACAATGAGTCTTTAAATATTTAAATTTTTGGGTATTTTTATAATATAAAAGGACTAAGCAGGTTTTCTTGATTTGAAAAAAAAAATGTGATACATATTAATTACAACAATGCTTAAAAGAAGATACATTTTAACATTGTACATTTTAGCTGTTTTCTTATATAATTTCTTTTCAGTAAATTAGATTAACATAATTTATGCAAGAGTTACGAAAGTAGGGGCAGTTGCGACACCACAGTTGTTGTCTTTCTGTGACATGAGAACATATCCGTCATTTCCCCAGTACGTCGACCATGAATTCTTGATGAGCCAGTATTTCTGACCACCCATTTCCCCGTAGCCGACCGCTAACACTGCATGGTCCAACTGATCTGGCTTGCTTCCTGAAAAAAATAACAAGAACTATCAGTAGGACAGCATGCTCGACTATTTTCAAGAGCCTGGATAATGTAAAATTTTCTAAAAGGGCCGTAATTCTTTCAAAATCCAAGTTAGAGTTTTGGGACTTTAATAGTGACCTCCTAATATGCTGTAAAATAAGTGTGGGATGTTTTAACCCATTCCCTTTTGTATATCTGGAGAAACGAACCTGCACACAAAAATGTAACAGAAGTATGACAGCTGTATTTATCTATAGGCAAGTACAGCAGCTCTTCCTATTCTTTGAACAGTCGAGCTTAAAAAGTTTTATGTAATTAAAATTAATTTTCTGACAGTGATAATCATTTTTCTTTCATAAAAAAACCCTTGAATCTTTTATAATTCTTTGAGTCAGCCCTACTCTATAATATATTTTTTTCATTTGAAGCATCTTGGACATTCTAAAACATTGTTTTACTATACATTTAAATGAGCCAGTCCTAATTACCTCCTGAAAGTAAATTGGAAAATGAAATTGTTATTGAAAACACCTGCAATTATCTTTGATTTTAATGTACCCAAGAAGCAGATTCTCATAAATATTTACAAAATGACAATTTTAAACTAGCTTTTCATTTTCTATATACAATTGGAGGCTGGTTTCTGTCTTAGGTTCTAGTGTTTAGACAAAATTTTAATGTTTTAATGAAAATTTGGAAATAGATCAACCAACTATATGGAGCCAGGTAAGACAGCACAGATGAAGTTTCTGTCCAGTAAATACTCAAAAATTTCTGTTTTAGCATAAATCCAGTAACTTTTATATGCAATAACTTTACAGATTTCAAAACTTACCACATTCTGGCTCAAAGTAAACACCGTCAGCATAAAACGACAGGGACTTATGGGAGGCATCAATGGCAACTGAGACTGGTCCCTTGCTGGCAATGGCAAAGGTCAAGGCCTCCTGGTCATAAGCTGTGACATTTGTGTAACCAGTCAATTTCACCATACTCGGAGCTTTGTCGTCATGGCAGTAACCGTCCTATGAATAGAAATACAAATATAATCTTTACTATTTATAGCACACACAATTATGACATCAATAATGATATCAAACATGGTTATGGTAAAACATGGTTATGGTAAATATTGGCTATGCTAAAACATGGTTATGGTAAAGGCGCAATTTCTTTACTTATTAAATTTTGTGACAAGAAATATGTTGAAAATGTCATAAAATGAAGACAAAATATGTTGAAAATATTAGAAAATCAGGAAAAGTCATATATATGTACCTGAGCCAAATACTGGCCATAAATTTCTTCAGTTGTGAGACCACCAGTCTTCATTACATACATGTATGATCTGAAAACATAATATCAAACTTTCATGTGTGTGTATTTGAGTTTATTTGAGCCACGCCATGACAAAACCAACATAATGGGTTTGTGACCAGCATGGATCCAGACCAGCCTGCGCATCCGGGCAGTCTGATCAAGATCCATGCTTTTCGCTATCAGTTTCTCTACTTGTTATAGGGTTTGTAAGCAAACAGTATGATGTGCAGATGCGCACGCTGGTCTGGATCCATGCTGGTCGCAAACCCATTATGTTGGTTTTGCCATGGCATGGCTCATTTATACTCCCCACTGGTTGCCCATATGGGCAAGTCCTCCAGAAGAGTGTTATTCATTTTATATTTTGGAGGATAGTGCAAAATAAAGATACAGAAAGATGCCCTAATTCCAGAAGCTTCTCCTGGTTCTTTCATGGGCCAAGTGTTTAAGCAATAATAAACGTTTGTTTTAATATTTTCTATGTTTTTTTTTGGGGGGGGGGGGGGGTGGGGGTGTGAATTTTAATATATTAATGTACAAAATGATTTTTGTGTGCGGGTCACCAAATGGCCGTATAGGTCAGATGACCGCCGAAAAGAAGTGACCATTACTACAGGTTTGACTGTATCAAATTGTAAAAAAGTAGCAAATTTGGATATTATTTGTGTCCTATAAAGATCTATTTAAAAGTCAGTGAGACCAGAAAAATCAATGATATTATCAATTCTTCTCCATCTAAGTAAAAATTGATTAAGATTTATATGGATTGAATACACTGTGATCCTTAACATCAAAAATAAGCCCAGTATATTCTTAAAACTAAAATGACAGGCGTATTTTTTAGAAAAATGTGGTCCATATTGTTTTCAAAATGAGTGGACTAACAAATATCAGATCAGATATCCATAGTGATTTAACTAACCTGAAATCTTCCCCACCATCACATCCGTTATTTCCCTCACCCCAAGAGCAATCTATCAACTGTTGCTGAGAAAACCTTTTTCGTTCACCGTACTTGACAAAATAAGCACCTTCTATAGCACCAACTGTTCCAAAACTCCAGCATGATCCACACACACCCTGGTCCTTTACCTGAGTTACAGCACCTGGGAGCAACAAGACAACAAGTTTTTAACTTTCACAGCATTTATATTAAAGCATTTTGCCTTAAGAAATAGAGAAATGGATTAACCTTATTTAAGTTACTGTCAATTAAAAGTTAAAGGAATTTCTGAAATCAGATCAGATGTTCATTTTATCTAAAGTGTGCAGATGGTGATATAAAGTTTTGTCCAAATACCAAGGCAGATACCCTCTCTAGTCTCTAGTATACAATATGTGATTAAAAGTACAGATGTATACATGTACCCTTTGTTGGTACATGCAATTTAAACCAAATTGAAAAATTCTAACATAATCATAATTATAAAAGCATAAATATGGTAAAATAATACAATAGGCTGAACATTTACCAATGGTTCTCCAGTCAATAGACTCTGGTACATCCCTAGGGTTGATGGTAGATTTATCAAACACCTGTGCACCATGGTCTCCGGCTGTATGTCGGTACCCATTACGTAGCTTCAGCTCCCTTTGACTTTTATCTGACAGATGATTTAGAGCCAGTCTGTACGTCAAACCTTGTCTGTTCTTAGAATGCACATATCTAAAAATAGAAAATTTCCAAATATATTATAACTATTAACTGCCAAAATATTTGAGTTTGGTAGGATTCACCTGACCTCCCAGGTACCTCAGTGTCTGTTGTCTTTAGTTGGACTTTTAGTCACACAAATATTAAAAGTGTTTCGCCTCTACACTGTACAGAAAGGGGGAGGAACCCTAAAGTCCCTGCATGAAAGGCATTTGGATAATATCACTTATCAAGCACATAAAAGATGATTAAAGGGACATAACTGAGGCCAAAAAGTGTTAAAACATAAAATTTGAATTAATTTTCTTACTTAGATCAGCTGAGGCACTCAATACAGAAAAATATGCAATGATAAGTAATAAGCATACTCAAAAGAAAAAAATTAAATTATATTTTTGTGCTATTCTTAGCCCAATTTTGGGAGTTCAAAAAGCATTGTAACGCTTTTCAATTTTGATCATTTTTCACAATTAGAATATTTATTCTAGAAAAACATAGTAAGCAAATGATCTGAAGATTGGCACACAAGTTATTGCTCTAGACCTACATCAAATGGAACATTAATCTCGAAAAAAATACTTTCAGTCCATTTCAAGTAAAGCGGAGTCCCTTTAATATACTTTCCTAATATTAGGATTTTATTCCCATATGGTGAGTCATAAGTGATCAGCAATCTTTAACATTTCATCAACTAGGCCCCTTCAATCCAAATTAAAACTTAAAATATGTAACACATGTATTATAAATATCATGAACCTGTGTCAGCCAGCATGTTGTCAAAGTGTATAAAGCTTTATTTATAATTATATCTGCCTCAAAAATTGTTATAGGAATTTTGAAAAAAAAAATACTTCCAAAATACATGTATAAGAATGAAAATGGGTATATTTTTCCTTAAGATGGAATGACTCATGTAAGAAGTCATTACTAAACAGTTAAAAGCCTACTTAAAATGGCAGCATAATATTCTGTTCCGCAACTTTTTTTGTTGCGGATAATGACCTTTATTCATATGTGATAAATAACAGAGACATTCTATGTTTCAACTTTATTTCGGGAATCAGCTGTAAGATTATGGAATTGAATTATGTATTGATTATGGAAGCAGCATTATTTGTTTTTAAATAGATATAGCTTTATACAAAGAAGTCAAATAATAAGGATCCATGCAATTTTCAATTCTTAAATTTGTAAATTGTGTGTAACTAATATGACATAAATGTACAGCATACAAAGATATTCAGAGATAGGTTGTGATAGAAGACCAGTCCTTCTTTTTATTATGTTGTGTTTTATCAGAGTGTCTTTTAAAATCTGTTTATGTCACAGATTAAAACATGGCCACTTAAAACATGGCCATAAACAAATTTATGTCACTGATATTTATGTCAGATATCATTTTACTCTAGATCAGTCCAAACAAGATAACAATAAACTTTAAACAAACACAGTCATGTGATAAAGCTTTACACATTTCAATTGACTTTAAGTCACAAGTTCTCAAAAAAAACACCTTAAAACAGGACATCAAATGAAGAGAGTAGTGTTGAATAACATGCTTTAATCATTTGATCAATTTCACCTACACAACATCATATCAACCAATCATCAAGGACATACAGACGGACAGATGTTTAATGTAGAACATATATCACCATCTTGATAGTGTAAATGATAAAGACAGGCAAAGTTCACACACTGTCACTGTCATACTAAACAGACACTTGAGAAAGTCCAGATTTAAGTATCAAATCCAAGTTCATAAGTATATACTGTCAAGTGAATGTATGACTATTATAAAGTCATAAGTCAATGGCTCATTTGTTTGTTGTGTTTTTATATGCAAATTCTTACATGTTTTTTCCCTTATCATGGTTGTACATTCATCTAACCGGGTATCCTGGTTAACTAACAATTTTTTAGTGACCAATTACTAATGCCTTGTGATTTCAAATATAAGAGGTGGGAAAACAAATAACCATTTTAAGACTCGATGTCAAAAAAAAAATTTGGCTCAGTCATAATTTTACTCATTAGAACAATCACTAGGGAAAATTAAAAATTTTCTTTTCAGATGCACAATACATCCTTAATGTTAAATGTGCCTTTAATTTCCTTATATTTCTTTAAATAACCTTGACAAGTAACGAGTTTTAGAATCATCAATTTTTAATTTGAAAAAGTCACGATTAAAAAATGTAATTAGTCAGCTAACAACATTAAGTCTGGCCTAATTGTAAGAATGTGCAGACTGGTCTAGACTGTAACCATTTTGCCATCCAGCATTTTAAGAGTTCTTTAAAGTATCACCATTCCAAATTCATTCTTATGTCTTAAAAAAAGCATTTTAAACTTTTAATTAATACTATTATTTAAAAGGAAAAGAAAAATGAGCCGCCTCATGACAAAACCAACATTGTGGGTTTGCGACCAGCATGGATCCAGACCAGCCTGCGCATCTGCGCAGTCTGATCAGGATCCATGCTGTTCGCTATCAGTTTCTCTACTTGTAATAGAGTTGGTAAGCGAACAGCATCGATCCTGATCAGACTGCACAGATGCGCAGGCTGGTCTGGATCCATGCTGGTCACAAACCCATTATGTTGGTTTTGTCATGACACAGCTCAAATGACGTTTAGCCTGCTGGCTGTGACTGAGGCTACAAATTCAACCTGTGCAGACCACATCAATGCTGTTTGATCATGGTCTGTACTGTTCAATACAAGGATTTTTTTTGGCTTATTTTATAGCCGTTATTGGATCATATTCCTAACTGAAAATAGTACACTATTTTCCCAATTCACAGGAAAAAATTCCCAATTGAAAGTTAAATAATTAAAATATTGAGTAAAAATTCTAAAATCTTTGCAAATAAGGGCTTCTGCTTAAATGTTTGAAGATGCCATCCTAGACAGTAATTGTTTGCATCTATTTAATCACTGCAAAATTTCAGTCATGCATTTTTCCTAAATTTTTAACAAAACACCGCTGAAATTCCCAATTCAATGGGTATGGGTCGTGTTCCCAAAATCCTGGAAAAATTCCTGTAATACTCACTCAGTACAGATTTTGAAACTTTCCCTAAAAATGATCATTGGTTTTGTCCAGATTGAAAGATAGACGATTCCATTTAAGATATCAAGTGCAGTGAGGGTTAAATCATTACATGGATGCACCTCATAAACTGTTGAAATATTTTCCTTTAGTTTATATTTTAAAAATAAACAATTTGTCTGCTTAACTGAAGGCATCAGCTATATAACTTATGATTCAATGTTCAAGGGTATCGTAAGTTCATATCATCTACTTAAGTGCATAAAAAATATTTAACATTTGACAAACGCGACAAGAGATAATATGTAACTTACACCATCTGCCTACAAGTAGATAGTGTAAATAAACATCAGTAATTGCATGTTTGTACTGCAGTAGTCTTCTGTACACTACAGTGACAAGTGTTAAATTCAAGGGTCCTTGAGACATCATGTGATAATTATATTATGTATCAAATTTCACTGTTTTATACATGTACTAATAATATGAACATCTTAAGGGAAGGTTGTTTTCCCTCCACATTTCTCGTATACAATAGACCAAGAAACTGTAATAAATTGCAATTTTTTATCTTTTTAATCAAGAATATCAATTTAACTGGAAAATATGATATACATTAAGAATTTAAGATGATTTATATAAATAAAACTAACTAAATACATCATGATTGTATCATATTTTTAAAGTACATTAGTTTATACAAATTTATTTAAGTTCAATTGTGTTGGAAGCTTATTGAAACACTCCCGAATCCGTTCCTGGTACCAACCAATACTAAGCAAAGAATGTAAAGTTTCTAGCTCAAGGAAACAACGGCTTGCCCCTGACAGGGTTTGAACACAGGCGGTCAGCAATCCCTAGATTACTTGTCTGATGCAGTAACCACTCGGCCACGCCGCTACTCAAAGTACATTGATGACTTATTTATAAATATTACCTGACATTCTGTCTGAAGTTATGTAATCTCTGAGCATGCTCTTTGTCATGAGCATAGACTGGTTTATGTGTGATCTTAAACTGCTCAAACATCGTGACAATATGGTCGTCATGGTGAGGGTCCACATGGTGATTCATAAACTCACCCATAGGGTTATTGAGAACTCTGTGCACCGAATCACCAGGTCCTGGGAAATCTCCGCATGTTAGGTCTGTAATAATTCAAAAGTTTGTTTTTTTAAATCAATCAAAAAATTCAAAGGAAAATCTAGTTTTTGGTCAATAAATGAAATAAATCTACCAATATTTCTAGGAAACCTAAACACAAGTGTCTAGATGAAAAAAAATTCCTCTTGTTCTGTTCACAACTAAATATTACTGCAAAAAACGCATTAATCATTTACAAATATAATAATGTTGAACCTTTATTGAAATTTTAGGGTTATACAAACAAAAATTACATGCATTAAAGCTACATGCCTCCAGAGGAGTCAAAATATTTCAAGCAAATCAAACTTAAGAAAATGTACTATTTATACTATATAATGATTTACATGTTATGTGTGATTAATTACTAACTTAGCCATATACATAACCATTACTTTCTACAAACCCCTTAAGGGCTATTTTGGTATATTTTGATGTGGGTTGTGAGTGCTGTTTGCAGTGTGTAAATTACTTTCTTTGTTTACATCACAGTATTTTACTTTTAAATACATTTTCAAAATTTTCATGAAAATTATCAGGAATCTGGAGACATGTTGCTTTAACACAATCATACAATGTTTGACTATTGCCTCAGACACCTGGTTTATTTTTCTGCACTGTTTGATAAGTATGAGAACTATAGGAGTTAACATTTTCCAAATTTTTCTTCCACAGACTTGAACAATACATGTGAGCTGAAGAATTTCTTTAATGGACTTGTCCAAATCCATTTTAAAACAGTCCATTTTTAATTTTAGGGGTTTCACAATAGAATTTTGAAGACTGGTTTGCCAAAAGGATAAAGACTGGTCCAGGTGCATATCTGTTCAGTCAAACCAGTCTGTTCAACAGCAGCAAATGCTAGGTAGTTTCAAAGGTAAAATTACCGAAATACTTACTTGCTGGTGTTTCAAAGGTGGTTTCTGGTATAGGAGATTTGTTATACTGGGAGTAATCAATGATGTATTTATCGTAATGTGAACCAAGTAGTGAATCAAAGCCCATCATCTCGTAACGCACTGGAAAATTAGTCTCTGGGGTGACCCACATTGTATATGTGTTTGTCTTGTGGTTTTCTTTGTCCACCATTCTCCAAACATCGCAAGATTTGCCATCAATTATCTGCTGCTCAGGTTCTTTCTAAAATATTATCATAAAAACAGTCAATTAGGTTAAATACGAGAGTAAAGAACAATGTTTTTACAGTTAGCAATGTTTAAACCATACCAAACCATATTGGACCACTGGAAAGACTGGATCAATAAGGGACAGGGCAAAAACCTTGGGGAGGTGGGGGGGGGGAAGAAAGAGAGCACTTAAGGTGGTGAAAGTTATCAAATTAATTTATTATTAAGACATACTAGTTTTTTTTTTCCATCCTTACTCATGTGTACACTGCATTAGCAAGTGGCAGGAAATTTAAAGTAATTGTAAAGTTGTTTCATTACCTCCTTTTTTTCAAAGGTCAAGGACATTTTACATTTTACCATAATCTCTCCAATCAGTGTTCCTGCATAATTAAGGAAACATAAATGTATGGCTATGGTATTACAATGCCTATCTTAGTAATAGAAGGTTTCATTATCACAGATGACAAATAATACAAAGAAATTTTATTTCCTTCTTAAAAACAAGTTAATTCACATGACCTCACTCAGTAGACTTTTTTTTAAAAAAGCGGTAAAAGGAAAATGTGTAAATATGTACATTCTATTTAGATGTATGTATCAGTACAAAATCAATTCAGTTAACTTTGAGTATAAAGTCACTCTTAAAATAAAGGACACAAATTTTTTTTACAGATAAAGGTTTTTATATTGCACTGTTATTGTATGGATGAGAGGCTACCACAAGCTATTGCAGCTTTCATTTCAATTCCTTCTTGTTTTATTGTGTACATCATCAACATGCATATATACTTTTAAATAAATTTGCTTAAAACTTAAATGTTGACTTTTTTGACAAGTTTTTTTGTAATATGTCAATCAAACAGAATGGAGTGCAGTCACAAGGCATTTGGAAGCTCAGGTAGGCTTGATTTTATAAGGGTAGACATGGCAGGCCATTATTGTCACTTCCACAATAATCATTCTGGTTGTACAAGCTAGCACTGCCACTTCATTACTGCCACTATCATTTGGTTGTGCAAGGGTGGCATAGACAAGTCAGTACTGCCACTTTATTATTGTCGCAATTATTTGTCTATATATGGGTGGCATAGACAAGTTATTACCGCCACTTCATTAGTGCCGTTATTTTTAAGGGTGGCATAGACAATATATTACTGCCACTTAATTACTGCCGTTATCATTTGGCTGTATAAGGGTGTTACTTACAAGTCATTTTTAAAAGTTAAAAAAATAATGTGGTCTTTATTTCAGGGTGGTCCTTAACACAAGTTAAATGTAGCTTATATTTAAAGTGAAAGAAAAGGGGGAAGTAAATGTGTTTTGATATCTGACAATAATTAAAAGATTTTAAAGGATTCAAATTTTTTAATATGTTCTAATTTTTTAACTTTTTGCAGGGACTACATTTTTTTCAGCAATTCCATGTACAATGATTATTTTCTTTAACAAGAGCTGTCACAGGAGACAGCCAAGCTCGCCTAATAAAATACTGGACGCAGTAAGGAGGACAAAACTATGAAAGAATAATCATTTATGTATAATTATGTATTTAGTTATAGTAAAAAAATAACATTTGTTAAAATAAATTCCAAGATCAAGGGAAATAATTCTAGAAATAGTCACGCTAGAGTTATGAACCTTGTCACACAACATGTATGTAATGATAAGAAGTATATATTTGAAGTTTGAAGTAGATACCTTAAAAAGTAACAAAGTTATAATATTTCATAAAGAAAATCCTAAGTTCAAAGAGAGATAAATCTGTAAAAATTACTTCAAGAGTTATGAACATTGTCACATAAAATATAATTGATTATAAGGAATAAGTATTTGAAGTTTGAGGTAGATACCTTTAAAACTAAAAAAAGTTACAGTAAAAAATAACATTTTTCTAGTAAAAAAAAATCTAAGTTGATGGGTAGATAATTCTTGCAATATTGGTGCCAGAGTTATGAACCTTGTCACATAAGATATGGATGATGATAAGGTACATTTATTTGAAGTATGAAAGTGATCCCTTTAGAAAAAAAAAAATAAGTTACAGTAAAAAATAATATTTTTTAATGAAAATTCTAAGTTCAAGGGGAGATAAATCTGAAAATATTGGTGCTAAAGTTATGATCCTTGTCACATAAGATGGGGATGATGATATGGTACATATATTTGAAGTATGAGGTTGATACCTTAAGAAATAAAGAAGTAACAGTAAAAAATAGTATTTTTTAAGGAAAATTCTAAGTTCAAGGGGAGATAAATCTGAAAATATTGGTGCTAGAGTTACCTTGTCACATAAGATGTGGTTGATGATAATGAACATATATTTGAAGTTTGAAGATGATACCTTAAGAAATGACAAAGTTATAGTGAAAAATATTTTACTGCACCAAAACTTTAATCTAAAATCTGGACGCGGACGCCGACGCCGGGGCGAGTAGGATAGCTCTCCATATACTTTGTATAGTCGAGCTAAAAATCAACCACCAGTATTTGATCTTACTAATAGTAACAAGCATTTGATAGTATTGCGGGCAATACAGTAGTCCCCTACCGGTCCCTCAAAAAGTTCTTTAATTGTCATAGTCACTCCTGTGTATTGCCATTTATAATGAATTTGAGGATGAAGTCTGTATTTGAAAATATCAACCACAAAACATAATAAAATAAGTTTGTCTATATCACAGTAATGTGTTAAGTTTCCATGCTTAGTAAGGAAATTATGTTTATACAACCTTGTCATATTATTACGATGTGGGATTTTAAAGTAAATCCTATAAGGAATGAAGAAGTTGGAGTGAAAATACCAGTTTCTCGAAAAAAATCTAAGTTCAAGGGGGACATAATTCTGGAAATAGTCTTGCTAGAGTATTTAACCTTCTCAAAAATGTCGAGTGATAATAAGAAACATATATATGAAGTTTGAAGTAGATACATTAGGAAATAAAGAAGTTATTTAAAAAAGACAACATTTTTTCCCCTAAAAAATCTAAGTTCAAGGGAGGTAATACTGATATTTTTTGTGCTAGAGTTATAAACCTTGTCACATATGATGTGGTTGATGACCAGAAACTTATATTTAAAGTTTGAAGTAAACACCTTAAGAAATAAAGAACATATAGTGAAAAAGCTGAAAAATTTAAATCAGAAATCTTGAAATTCAGGCTATTTGTTGCCATAGCAACCAGAATTTTCAACATAGGAAGAAAAGAAAAAGATGTGCATAATCTCCAGACTGCCATCTACCCATATTTCAAGTTTCATAAAAATATTTTCAGTACTTTTTGAGTTATCACTGGATCCAGTTTATGTGTTAAATTTGCCATATTTTTAGACTATTTGTTGCCATAGCAACCAGAATTTTCAACATAGGAAGAAAAAAAAAAGACGTGCATAATCTCCATACTGCCATCTATCCATATATCAAGTTTCATAAAAATATTTTCAGTACTTTTTGCGTTATCGCGGGATCCAGTTTTGTGGACGGACGGACTGACGGACTGACATACGGGCGGACAGACGGACAGACGGACGGAGGGTAAACCTAAAGTCCCCTCCGGTTAAACCGGTAGGGGACTAATAAAATACCTGGTATTATAGTATAATACCAGGTATTTTATATGAGATTTAATTTTTTTACTTCCCTGTATTAAATAGTTTTCAAAAAGGTGAGCAGGAAGATATGGGGTAATGCTAATGTATTTTTGAAACACAACAAGGACGTAAAATCACTTTAACAATTGAAAATGATAGTACATGTACATGTACCTATAAATTTATTGGTAAAATGATAAATTCAGGCATGATTTTTTTTGTTACATATTTATCCGCATTGTGTATTATTATAACAGGCAAAAACAAGTTTTTTTAAGTTGGGTTTCTGATGAAACTGACAATCTCAAAGTCATATTTTAATTGTTAATTTTTAATTGGCACAGAAAGATCACTGGTACAAAATGGACATGCCTCTGCACATGGCTTAAACAAATGACCTTAATGTTAGCTGAATTTTTTCAATTGGATATACATGTATTCCTCCACAAGAAATTTTTCAACATTTCTGTCAAGACTCCAACCTACATAGACAATTTTTGAAGCCATTCGACCATGAAAGTACATACAGTCTACACTCGTTATCTCGACTATCGAGAAAAGGGGTGTCAAGATAATGATAGTTGACCGTACAAAAAAATATTGGTATACTGTAAGAAAATATATTTCTGTCGGTAGTATATTTTCTGTAAGTTAACCAAACCTGTTTATAATACAAATTTTATAACTTAACATATTTTTTTGCGGGAAAAATAAATTCTGTATCATCACACCTAAGATAGCCCTGAACTTTTGTCATTATACATGTATATTACTGGTTTATCCCATGAATGTTCAATGGCTTGCTGATAATGCTTATGATTAAATGCTGCTTTAATTAATTAAACATATTCAGCCAGGATCATCTACATGTATTATCTTTTACATTGCTCTCCCGAGGAATCTGGCTATTTCCAAACTTTTAAAGATAATGCTAACAAAATTTAATTACCTGAAATCCAGTAAGATCTGGGAGTGTGACCTGTATGTCTACGGGGGCCTCAGAGAATCCTGGCATATTGAAACAGCTCATCAAGTTTCGAACTTTGTATGTTGACAGTGGGGCAACTTTATAACCCTCCCCATACTGACCAAGGTCTGCTCTTTGTATAGTCATGACCATACCTAGAAATAAACCATATGATTACAAATAATCAAATCATTATCCTATTTTTTTTTCTCATTTTCTTCCCACATTTATATATATTTAGCACTTGTCAAGGATAAAATGATATTAGACTAACACACACCTATTTTCTGTATGTAACTAATTTACTTATATGTATCAACTGGCATTGACTGGAAAATTTGATGAGCAACAGTCTATACCAGTAAAATTCATATAATTGGTAATCATAATATGTTGAGCAACACAATCATAATTATAGTACATGTACAAGAAAATAAATCATCCTATTCAGAAAAGAAAACCTCAGTCTGCTTTGTTCTTAATTTATCACAATCACGTAAGGCAACTAAACTTTTCAACTAGTTTACCAGTATTTCAATGATCATGTCTGTAATATATTTGATGCTGGATGGTTTAATATTAAAACAGCTCTCTGTCGTCTACATCTATCAAGTTAACATTTAAAACTTACTCAGATGGTGCAGGAGCAGATTTTAAAAAGTTAAACATCAGTTAAATTCAGAGTGGGAAAATCAGTTGTCCATATTTCCCAGGTTGTCCCACAACCTGTACAGACAAGTGACATTTTGTTTTTATAATTTACTTTAAGAATATCATACAGGCAAGTAAGGAAAGGTTTCAGATAAAATAGACAAGTACTTGTAAGTCAAAATCAGATTTTGCCTGCCCTGCATTTTACACTAAAATATCATGCATACCTCCATAGTAGTCAATCCTACTCCTTTTCTTTGTTGAGTCATACCAGCTGGAGAAAGGTTCGTTAATTTCTGCATATGGAAGCTGTAGCATACCCTGTACACTGTATACCTCACCCCATACTGGTGGATCTTCTCTCACTTCTACTATGCTAGGCAACCCATAGCATATTCCTAGAGTGAAAAGAATTTTTCAATTATGACATATACATTACTCTTTGTCATATGGTGATTTTTGTAAGCGATATGTAAATGGTGGTGAATATCACTATTAGTGTTCAGTCATTAAACTTCATGATTTAAAGTATTTGGGGACTGGGAGCTTATTATTCTCATTAAATACATAAGTATTATTGTTAAATTATCTGCTATTGATATCGAAAGTTTGCCGCTGATGTTTTGTATTGTATTAATATTATACATCGAAATATAATATGCAGAAATAATATGAGATAATGACGTAAAGTTTGCAAATTAAATTTAACTGTGATGTATATAAGTGGGGATCAAGAAGGGGAGCAACTCATATAACCCCAAGTCACAAGTGTCTGTGGACATATCGAGAAAATCAACTAGATCTAATCGGTTAAACTAACTGAGACATGTGAACTGGGCTATACTTAAGGATGCCAAAACTGTGGAACAGTATTCTTACTGGGGCCTAATATAAAATATATCATGTCCATGTTTTTATTTATTAAATTTCCATGTGGCAGAGATTGCCTAGGTGTGAAACTATCAGGTTTATTGTTCAAATTTGCGCATTTATTGTATTTTGTAATGAGATTAAATATGTATGAATCAGAGCTGCATCAGTACTAAGGGTGTAGTACTTAAGTACCAGTACCAGTACTTGGCAAATTATGCAGTACCATTACCAGTACCAGTACTAGATTTTAGCTCGGTACTGCAGTACCAGTACTTTTTTTGGTGAAGTAATTAAGTATCAGTACCATTACTTTTATATATTCATCAAAGTTTGAATAAATACATTGTCAAACAAATAATTACAAATATTATTCAGCAAAGAAATAAATCATAATTTACTTTAAAGCTGCATGCCTCCAGATGACCCAAAATATTTCAAGAAAATTAAACTTGGAAAAAAATTACTTAAACTTTGAGAAAAGTAAACAAATTAAAGATTCAAGTGATAGTTTATTTCTAATGTGCAATTAATGACTGTATTTTGTAGTATTTATCACCATATTTCTACTGCGTTACTAACGCAGTAGGGGCTATTTATGCATGATTTGACCTCTTTTTGGTAATTAACGTGGATTTTAAGTGCTGATTGTAATGTGTCAAATACTATCTTTGTTCGTTTAACAATATTTTACCTTTAAATACGTTTTCAAAATTTTCATGAAAATTAGTATGAATCTGGAGGCGTGCTGCTTTAAAGTTAACATAACATATTTACAACTATATAGTTTTAACATACTTTTTATAAACAATATTTACAACATATTAATTAATGTCATATCTAATTGTTTAGTAACCAGTCAACTGTATAAATACAATGCAAACATCTTTATTTAAAACACAACAGTCTTTTGTTGCCTTTCACACCTTCAAACTGTTCAATTTAAATCAAAGTAAATAACAACTTTTTATGGTGCTAACAACATCACTTTTTTCACTTGAAATGGGATTTTTTAGAATAGAAGAAATTAATTAGTGTTTATTTTGCTCTTTTACTAGTAAATACAAAGTAATAAAATATTTAAATAATGATATTTTAGGGTAAAGAGTTACTGAGTCTGTTTATCTTAATTTAATTTTTTACTTAAAGTCTTTGGTGCTTTTTATGATGAATACTATGTTAACATTTGAAGGAATATTGCAGCAAATTATCTTTAGATTTGATAACTTACCTTTTCACAAAAATAAAATATAGTTAATGTAATTTACAGCTTTATTTTATGACAAAAATTGATGTTATTTTTAATTTTAATCAAAAATAAAAGTACTGGGTAATGCAGTAGCAGTACCACTTTTTAAGACAGTAATGCAGTACCAGTACCAGTAGTAGCAAAATTTTGTAAGAGTAATTCAGTATCAGTACCAGTACTTGCAAAATTGCTGCAGTACGTACTGCAGTACCAGTACCAGTACCAGTAATGCAGCTCTGGTATGAATACATAAGAATAAACAACAAACCACAATTAACGATAATAAACAAATCTTATTTACATAGATCTAGGAGTTATTTTTGAAAAAGATCTTAAATTTAGCAAACATATTTCTACTAAGATTAATAAGGCAAATAGTATTTTAGGCCTTATTAACCGGTCTTTTGAATTTTTAGATGAATACACCTTTGTGAAATTGTATACAGCTTTGATTCGTCCTCATGTTGAATTTGCAAATGTTGTGTGGAATCCATATTTTATAAAAGATATATCAAGTCTAGAAAAACTTCAACAAAGAGCAACAAAACTAGTTTCATCATTAAAAGATCTGACATATATTGACCGTCTTAAAAAGCTTAAACTGCCAAGTCTAATACATCGCAGATTAAGAGGGGACATGATTCAGACTTTCAAAATAGTAAAAGGCTTAGATGACTGTGTTTTTGAAATTTTTTTTAGTTATTCGGCATCAACAAGGGGACATAATTTAAAACTAGAAATGCCTCGTAGTAGAACAACTCATTGCCTACATCAGTTTTCAAGACGTGTAATTAAAACATGGAATAATTTGCCAAATAATGTAGTAGACTCAAAAAGTGTTCATGAATTTAAAATAAAACTAGACCAACACTGGACCGGAGACACTCCATATAAAGTTTAAAATGTTTATTGAAAAATTATGCTGTTAAAATTATACAGCAGAGTGAACAGAAATAGATAAAAGTATATATAATTAAACATAGAAGTGGTGAGAGCAATAAGAAGAAGTAGTGAAAGATTGTCAAAAGAAGAGGGGCTTAAAAAGGGCTTGGCCCTTCCATCAGAGCCCAGAATCATCTTACAGGTAACATAAAACTGAAATGAACAATCGATAAAAATAATTAATAACACTAATATAATTACACACACTAAACCGAAATTGAACAGTACAATGAAACAAACCACATATTAAAGTTATAATTCGGTCTTTTTTTATAATTGTTATGCTCTATATCATTTGTATTTTATATAAATTATATATATGGTACGTATCCTCCAAAATATATAAGTGGTACGTAACCTCCAAAAATGGTACGTAACCTTCTGGTATGTATCCTCCGTTAATCAAATGGTGTATGTGTGTTTGTGTGTGTTTGGGTGGGGGAGGGGGGGTTGTAAACGTTTGTCATATATATCATTGACTTTCTAAAAATTTAAACATTTACAGGTTTATCACATTTGTCCATATTCGCATTTTCAGACAAATGTAAATCTATAAAAAAAAGGAAAATGCACTGTCCTTCAATGTCAGAAGGACTCACTGGGACCATCAACGAGCTGCATGAATCTTGCGCGAGGCGAATACTGTGGTAGTGGTAACCCCCTTACAGACGAAAGTGTTCAACATATATTTCAAAACAATACGTAAACTGGAAAATAGCCCATGTGCCATGTCAACAAAGACGCTTCAGTTTTTTTCAAGTTTGATTTTTTGCAGAAGCATGGAAGTCGCAAAAGAACATTGTTCTAATTACCACTTAACAGTTTCGAGTTATTCAGTTAGAAATATTTGAATAATCATATTAAATTGAACAAATTCTCTTACCAAAGAAAGCCAGTGCCGATAAAATTACTCCCGTCTTGCAAGCCGCCATTTTTTGTAATAATTTGATATCACATGACTTACAATTAAGTCACATGAGTCATTACATCGTCACGTGACATCCTGATACCGTAAATCAGCATTTTTTTGTGGTGGTGTTGTTTTTTTCTATTCCGTGAGCGACCTATAAATACTGTTTGCCGACATATTTTACTTCTAGGCAAAACAAATGTAAGGCATGCATGCTAACGAAGAGAAAATAGAAAGTCCAAAAATGTTGCACACTTGGTTTCATCACGGATTTATATCGTATATAAATCCGTGGTTTGATTGAACCCATTTATGGAAACTGGGAAGGACCTGTTATATTCTGTCCCAGATGGACAGTACTGGAAAGTGCAAGCTACTGATCACGCCCCCCTGCCACCGACTAAAGCGGTATTCAAAATTTAAATGCTGAAATTTCTAATTTAGAAACAGGAGCAGACAGAACAGGCCGGGTTAGCTGCTGGGGTTGGCGGCTGATCTGTCGACATAAACTATTTGACAGGGGAAAAGCGCGTGTTTTTGGAGATTTGGCCAGGAATTTGTGCATGTGAAAAAAATGTAATAGACGTGGGCAATTTATTTCTTATAATTAATTTGTCTTTACTACTATTCGAGTTTTATTTCTCTACATTGGTGAAATTGAAATAAAGAATATATATGCACATGTGAATTGGATCTCACCAATTTTCTGCAGTACTAGTACTAGCTGTAGTGTCTGAAATTATTTTTTTATCAACAGTCAATTTACTTGACAAATAATTAACTTATTAGCCGATTTACCAATGTAAATGTGTTATTTGAAATACTGCTTTTTATTCTACAAAAGATAAAAAAACACTTATATTTAATAAGCATTTTATTCTATCAATGAATCTATTAATTTTTTTAGATATTTAAGAAGTAATTACAACTTAAATTTATTAAAGGCAGTCTGAAATATGAAATATTAATGGACCAGCCTACATAACGAGCAATCACGTTATTGGGGGTTCGATTCCGGGGCTGGCCAGCTAAAATTACTAATCAGTCTTTCGGATGTGATTTTCAATATGAGTGTTTAAACACTTGGCACGTTAAAGAACCAGGAGAAACTTATGGAATTGGGTAGTTTTTCTTTAAAGCAGCAGGCCTCCAGATTCATGCAAATTTTCATGAAAATTTGAAAATGTGTTTAAAAGTAACATAACGTGAAGTGAACAAAGAAAGTAATTTACACCTTGCAAACGGCGCTTACAATCTACATAAATTACCAAAAAGAGGTCAAAATATACATAAAAACCTCTTACTGCGTTAGTAACGCAGTAGAATTGAAGTGATTTCTACCGCAATATCAGTCATTAATCGCACATAACATGTAAATAATAAATTAGATATTGAATCTTTTTATTTTTCCTAAGATCTGAATACATATGTTCTAAAAATTGAATTTCTTGAAATATTTTGGCTCATCTGGAGGCGTGCAGCTTAAACTGTGTCCTCCAAAATGTAAAAAGACAAATACCTTTCTGGAGGACTTGTCCATACAGGTAACCGGTGGCGATTATAAATAAACTCAAATACACACACACACAGCATGTGCTCAACAACCGGGACAGGCTCAAAAAGGGGTGACAGCAAAATATTTAGGGGGTGACATGACAATATTCCCATGAAAGAACGCTTTTATTCCAGCTATGAACTATCTTGTATTTTTGGGTTGAGCAGGGAGGTGCAGTCTGAACCGGGGCCTATATCCGCCATGGAGAAACTTTATAGGGATTGACCCTTAATTTTTAAATGGGCACTTAAGCCATTTTATAAAAAGAGAAAAACCCCCCAATAAAAATTGTTGTCCTTTAAAAACGAAAAAATATGGCGGTACTAAAAGGGTGTCAAGCTCAGACTCGGGGTTACGAGGCCTAATAATAAGGAGCCATGGTAATGTTTTTTACGTTTTTCCCTGGGCCTTCTCACATTTTAAAATAAATGCATGAATAAATTTGAAATTCCCCCATTTAAAACAAAAAATGTTGTTAAAATTTTTGTATGTCATTAAATCGTTTGCCATTTATATTCAGTCTATAAAATGTCTGGCATTTTATATTATGTCTGATGTTTGCATAGTCACTCAATTTCATGAATTCACTATAATTACAAAATTATGATTTTTTTTATCAAGAATTCGTGAAGTTGAAATCACGAATTTGTCAAGTTGATATTGTGAAACTCAAAACGTAAAATTGTTAAGTTAATTTCTTCAAGTTGAAATCATAAATTCGTGTTGTTGAAATCGTGAATTCGAGATCATTAATTCTTGCCCTGTTATGTATGACATTTAGATAAGGCAATGCAATTAGAATATAAAACTCAAATACTGTAACTCCGGTTAGTTATATTTATTCATCCAGATGAGCATGATAGTAGGTACATTGTATATGATAATACACAATAAATTATATACATTTTTTTACACAACTTTCATGTAATCGTTAACAATAATTCTATACATATCTACTTTATTTATTATATACGGAAGCGTATCGTGTCAACTCGTTTTTTCTCGTTTTGACCAAAAACATTCCATGAAGACGTTATGATTAATACGTAAAACGTAAAACATTACATGAAGACGTTATGATTAATACGTAATACGTAGAAGTTTTTAATCATTGCAAAAAAAACTTTGTTGAATTACGTGAGCTATTTGTCAATGCGAGTAAGGTCTTTGCGTCTTACAAAATAGTTCAGCAAAGTCGTGAAATCAAAAGTTTCGACAGGAGTTCTGTCGAAGAGACAAAAGCTTCAAACATATCGAGAAAAAATCAGTCGCAATGCCTAAAAGCTTCTCATGTTTGTCAGTAAATTTTATTGAGAAATGCAAAAACATCTTATCAATGCGAATGAAAATAAATCGACTTATCGCAAAACATCTCACCAACTGTAGGCGCTGATACGCTTCCGTAATATTCAGATAAAGCAATATAATTAAACACACATACTATAATTCCAATTAGTTATATCTATTCATCCTGAAGAGCATGATACATGTATCACCGGGTGCATGTATAAGGTATAATAAAGGACACAGTAAAATAGATACATTTTTATAACATAACTTTCATGTAATGGTTAACAATAATTCTTTACATATACATGTATATTATATTATGATATATCTTATTATAGAAAGTCAACTGAAGCCAAAAAAACTATTGTAAACTTTATTTATCAACTTTCTGGTTATTAAAAATTGACCTGCTTAATTCGTGAAGTCGAGTTTGGTATATTCCATTTGAAGTGTATAAGAGTTCAACATTAGAATAGAAAAAAGTGGTTTTCAGACTGCTCGAATGTATGTGCTGGCTTGGCTGTATACGGGTGGCAAAGGCTAATCACGTTTAGGTCGGTAAAGTATAAAAAGAACGTAATGACATTATATCACAAATTGTGTAAAAAAACAAATCAGCAAATTCATATTCACAATCAAATGTATCAATATACAGTCAACATTATGTGATGATTAAAAACATAAGATAACTATGGTACAGAACGCAACTACTTTACATATAAGCAATGCTAAATAAAAAAAATGGAGAAAAAGTGATCCTTTGGTAAGGTAACACTAATCACAATAGTATTACACGAAAATGGCAGACTCGGTTTGAGTCTGTACACGAAAAGTTAAGTCTGTCGAAGTTAAGTATAATTCAATGATCCATCCATCATATATCATCATACATTCTTGTTTCATTCTTTAATAACTTTGTGTGTGCGTGCGCGTGCGCGTGAATCTTTTATGTGAAACAGAGAATAGTGCTGTTATGTTGATATTTTGAATTTCTGCATTTTACTATTTTCAACACAGTTACTTGTAACAACAAAAAATGATTTATCACGTGAGACACATAATTTATATAAATAGTCCATATCTATCTTGTATGATGACAATATCTGACCTCTTTGTGATATCTGTACAACGGTTTTTGTTTTGCTGCTACACACCAGGATAGTATCAGAAGGACCAACTGCTACACCACATGGTTCCTGTATCTGATCATCCTTCACTACGACTCTTGTGTCTGTCTTGATATCATATATATAGACTGTATGCTCGACTTTATCTGTTATCACCACTTTGTCACTGCTCTTTATGTAAGTACTATCGCTAGTGTCTACAGGATATGATTTGTTTGGAAAGTTAACACCAAAATCACTCTCCTCTCCTGTCAATGATACAATACGAACAGGTCTTGGTTTACCACAAGTCCCTACAACGAAATGTCTATCATCTTTCAAACATATACAGTAATATATTGTGTTCACTTTATATGTTCTTCTCGGTGTAATTTCATTACATTTACTAACGTGTAAAAATTCTATATTGTATCCTACACCTTGTGTTATCGCTATTTCCTCCTCAGATACTACAACAACAGATAATGGTATGTAAGACAGCTGATATGATCCTTCTTTCTCAAGCTTATCATTGTACACTAAACATTTCTTGTTCGTGTTATCAACAGCCACCAGTCTACCATCAGGTAGAAAATCTATACCTGTATATAACGGTAAATCTGTGTCATTTTCTGACTTCTTCAAAATAATAGCAGAAACTGGTGTTAATTTCATCATCATGTTAACAGAATTAACCTCTCCCTGGTGATGAAACTTGAATTGTAATTGTCCTGGAACATATTCATTTACAGGTAATGGCGGCAGCTTTATTGTGTCGTCAAATTGAAAAGAAATGTTCACATTCTCTAATCTCTGACATTCCTCCTTGATGTTTCTGCAGAGAGCATTGACTTTACTCTCCATTTTCCGTTCTGCTATATATTTCTGTACTGGAGTTCCATTTTTGAAAATATTTTCAATCGTCTCTAAGCACTTTGTTACATCAGCCAAATGTTTCTCGTTTTGTGTTTGCTTCTTTGTCAGATATCGTAATGTTTCTTTCTGCATAATTTCAGCTCTTTTGTTAACGGAATCTTCTAGATCGACAAACATATTCATAACTTCGTCTCGCATTTGTCTAATTTTTACTTGTATTTCTTTTATATCTTGAGCAAGTTGATCTTTTGAAGAGCAAATCTGTCTCGCAACGCTCTCAGCAGCTTCCTTAGCTTCCTTCAATTTCTCCCCTAATGTAGAAATTGGTGAGGTTATTTTTTCGGCAATCTTCTCAATTTCTACAACGCTGTGACATTTTCGATGATTAACAATGGCACACTTACTGCAGCAAAGCTTCTTTTCATCTTCACAGAAAAATTCTAAAGAACGTTGATGTTCATCACATAAATCTAATGCCTTTGTTTCAAACGAAATACTTGCAACATCAGCTTCTTTCACGCCCACCAATTTATGATTTTTCAAGATGGCGAGCACGTTGTGTACATTTGAACAATCATTACATTGGAATTCATTACAAGTTGAACAAAACTTGTCAGCTACAGTTTGCTTATCCTTACTTAAACATGGTTGACACAAATGTTCCTTCACACGACCAGGAACTTCATCATCCTCTTCTATTTTACTTCCACTCTCCGCCATTTTGTGTAACGATTATATTATCCCTATTTGAGAAATTAATCTCGAGGTCAATACACAACGACACTGTATTACAGCAGAAACTTAGATATTTCAATGAAACAAATCACGGTTTATAACTGATTTAACGAAATAAAATGTTCATGTAAGACATAATATCTTGTTCCAGATCTTAATGTTATCCCTCGAATGTTTTACATGTCGTTGCTACAAAACATTAGATCACTTTGGAACGCGGAAGTTAAATTTCCATGAATTCTATATTTGGATTACGAGTAATGAAACTAAATAAGGTTAGGAAACGTGTTTTTCGAGATCAAATTTACAATTGTGCATATTGTTTTGGTATCTTCTTTATTTTCAGAAGATATCTTTTATTAGTAGTATGTCATGTAAAGTTGAAGATATAATTTACTTCACATGAACAATATATAACTGAAATATCTGTAAATATCCATTGAAATTTACCTGTTACATTCAAATTAAAAATAATGGGAGTAGCCTTTTTAAATTTTAGGTTGATATTTTGTTATATTTAACATTTTACAGTATCAACTGTCGGTCTATCAAAATCATTACAGTCAATCTTAGAAATACAGTTAGTTCAGCTCCAATTGACGATGAAATAATGAGTATAATTTGAATGTTTATAACAGTCCTTTATGGAAGCCCTGGAGGGACATTTGAAATTAATATTTAAAACTTAAAACTTATTATTTAATTCTTAATATTTAAAATTTAATTCTTAATATTTAAAAATTAATTATTAATACTTAAAAATTAAGAACATAATACATAAGACGCGGTATTTGAATTCAACGGTCTCTTGCAAAAGGTTGCTACACGAAGAAAAATTGGCTAATTCGATATAGCTGCTTACAGGTAATTGCCATTATATATATATATATATATATATATATATATACATGAAAAATATAACAATCGAGATATAATATTTCTCGGAATGTTTGCTTTTTATGTTTAACTGCTCGTTAAAATTTCTAGGCCGATCTCGAGTTCGCTTTACTTTTTGTTAGAACAGGCCATAAATCAAACCATATTAGCTTTTTTTAGGCAGTACTATTTTTAGTTAAAAATAGTACTGCCTAAAAAAAGCTAATATGGTTTATTTTCTAATTTCCTACATACGGTTTAGCTTAGATTTCTAGCAATGTTTATTCTAAGATTTGTCATGCAATCATCAATGTAGAATCAGAATGTTTCAAGAGAGGTCTCGTGTTTAAGTTCTTTTATTATTTTTTCCGTTTGATTTATGGCCTGTTCTAACAAAAAGTAAAGCGAACTCGAGATCGGCCTAGAAATTTTAACGAGCAGTTAAACATAAAAAGCACATACTTCGGAAAACTGTGAACATTAATGTTTATTTATTAAAAGTATATATATTATTGTCTAATATTCAATCATCTGGATTTGTTTCATATTCAATATCCTACAAATCAATATTAACACCATAATCAGTAGAACATGTAGTACATTTAACAACATTTTATTTCTGGTCTTCCAATACAATGCAATACAAGTGCACATGTCTACATGTTTTTGTGGTCGCACATTGTGTAAATTCCAGTGAATACAATGCGATAAAGTCCCGCTTGAAGAACATCCGCTAAATAAAATCGCAAGCATTTTGCATGAAAAGGGTTTGACGTATCAATTCGTCCACGAGCTCTCAAATCTGTCAACGTATTCATCCACCTTGGTACCATAAGCCGTCCCCGCTAAACTGCGCACATAATAATTACAACGAAGTATCTGACGGATGTTGTGGTAAAACAATTTATGCATACATGAAGTCAGTATGAAAGTACTGCGTAATCACTTCTAACCTGGTGCGTCCGTTTCCAGATGGCAATAGGGATGACACATCTGTTGACACAGGAGTCACTTTCAATAAAATGATAAAGGCGAACAGCAACGGGATCTCCATGTTTACGACCTTGAAAGAAATATAAATAAATGAAATATAGTGTTATAAAAACAAAGGGCTGGGGCTGTAAACATGTAATATTGTTATCCACCACCTACAACTAAACATTATCGTTAGACAAACCTAACCCCTGACAAGGAGGTACATTTCTGTCAGTTTTAAAGCTTCAACCAGAACAAAATGTATTGATAAACATCTCAACTGCACCATGTAGTCAATAAAATGTAAAACGGCACCATGATAAACTTAACATATCTTTATGGTTTAAACTGTTAGCATGAAAAATATAACAATCGAGATATAATATTTCTCGGAATGTTTATTGTATATATATATATATAATGGCAATTACCTGTAAGCAGCTATATCGAATTAGCCAATTTTTCTTCGTGTAGCAACCTTTTGCAAGAGACCGTTGAATTCAAATACCGCGTCTTATGTATTATGTTCTTAATTTTTAAGTATTAATAATTAATTTTTAAATATTAAGAATTAAATTTTAAATATTAAGAATTAAATAATAAGTTTTAAGTTTTAAATATTAATTTCAAATGTCCCTCCAGGGCTTCCATAAAGGACTGTTATAAACATTCAAATTATACTCATTATTTCATCGTCAATTGGAGCTGAACTAACTGTATTTCTAAGATTGACTGTAATGATTTTGATAGACCGACAGTTGATACTGTAAAATGTTAAATATAACAAAATATCAACCTGAAATTTAAAAAGGCTACTCCCATTATTTTTAATTTGAATGTAACAGGTAAATTTCAATGGATATTTACAGATATTTCAGTTATATATTGTTCATGTGAAGTAAATTATATCTTCAACTGTTCACTGACTAAATACCTTTGAATGGGGATAATGTCACTTTAACCGTTATAAGTTAAGGTAGACCATGGGTAATGGGCACCATAAGGAACTGTAAAATTGACAACATAGGACAGTTATATGTCTTCAAGGTCACCTGTATGCAAAATTTAAATAAAATTTACCGTGTGGTTTATGAGTTATGGATATATTTCTGAACTAAGACTTTGCCATTAGAAGGGCTTATTTTCAGAAATGAGGAAACTGTAAATAATCTGTAATATCATAATTATAAAAAATGTTTTTCTATTGCTCATTGTTAAGAAACAAATAACAACATTCAGGTAACACATTACACAAGCAAAATGTTTGTTTCTAAACAAAATGTTCTTAATATCTAAGCTGTAATACAGTGTCGTTGTGTATTGACCTCGAGATTAATTTCTCAAATAGGGAAAATATAATCGTTACACAAAATGGCGGAGAATGGAAGTAAAATAGAAGAGGATGATGAAGTTCCTGGTCGTGTGAAGGAACATTTGTGTCAACCAAGTTTTGTTCAACTTGTAATGAATTCCAATGTAATGATTGTTCAAATGTACACAACGTGCTCGCCATCTTGAAAAATCATAAATTGGTGGGCGTGAAAGAAGCTGATGTTGCAAGTATTTCGTTTGAAACAAAGGCATTAGATTTATGTGATGAACATCAACGTTCTTTAGAATTTTTCTGTGAAGATGAAAAGAAGCTTTGCTGCAGTAAGTGTGCCATTGTTAATCATCGAAAATGTCACAGCGTTGTAGAAATTGAGAAGATTGCCGAAAAAATAACCTCACCAATTTCTACATTAGGGGAGAAATTGAAGGAAGCTAAGGAAGCTGCTGAGAGCGTTGCGAGACAGATTTGCTCTTCAAAAGATCAACTTGCTCAAGATATAAAAGAAATACAAGTAAAAATTAGACAAATGCGAGACGAAGTTATGAATATGTTTGTCGATCTAGAAGATTCCGTTAACAAAAGAGCTGAAATTCTGCAGAAAGAAACATTACGATATCTGACAAAGAAGCAAACACAAAACGAGAAACATTTGGCTGATGTAACAAAGTGCTTAGAGACGATTGAAAATATTTTCAAAAATGGAACTCCAGTACAGAAATATATAGCAGAACGGAAAATGGAGAGTAAAGTCAACGCTCTCTGCAGAAACATCAAGGAGGAATGTCAGAGATTAGAGAATGTGAACATTTCTTTTCAATTTGACGACACAATAAAGCTGCCGCCATTACCTGTAAATGAATATGTTCCAGGACAATTACAATTCAAGTTTCATCACCAGGGAGAGGTTAATTCTGTTAACATGATGATGAAATTAACACCAGTTTCTGCTATTATTTTGAAGAAGACAGAAAATGACACAGATGTACCGTTATATACAGGTATAGATTTTCTACCTGATGGTAGACTGGTGGCTGTTGATAACACGAACAAGAAATGTTTAGTGTACAATGATAAGCTTGAGAAAGAAGGATCATATCAGCTGTCTTACATACCATTATCTGTTGTTGTAGTATCTGAGGAGGAAATAGCGATAACACAAGGTGTAGGGTACAATATAGAATTTTTACACGTTAGTAAATGTAATGAAATAACACCGAGAAGAACATATAAAGTGAACACAATGTATTACTGTATATGTTTGAAAGATGATAGACATTTCGTTGTAGGGACTTGTGGTAAACCAAGACCTGTTCGTATTGTATCATTGACAGGAGAGGAGAGTGATTTTGGTGTTAACTTTCCAAACAAATCATATCCTGTAGACACTAGCGATAGTACTTACATAAAGAGCAGTGACAAAGTGGTGATAACAGATAAAGTCGAGCATACTGTCTACATATATGATATCAAGACAGACACAAGAGTCGTAGTGAAGGATGATCAGATACAGGAACCATGTGGTGTAGCAGTTGGTCCTTCTGATACTATCCTGGTGTGTAGCAGCAAAACAAAAACCGTTGTACAGATATCACAAAGAGGTCAGATATTGTCATCATACAAGATAGATATGGACTATTTATATAAATTATGTGTCTCACGTGATAAATCATTTTTTGTTGTTACAAATAACTGTGTTGAAAATAGAAAAATGCAGAAATTCAAAATATCAACATAACAGCACTATTCTCTGTTTCACATAAAAGATTCACGCGCACGCGCACGCACACACAAAGTTATTAAAGAATGAAACAAGAATGTATGATGATATATGATGGATGGATCATTGAATTATACTTAACTTCGACAGATTTAACTTTTCGTGTACAGACTCAAACCGAGTCTGCCATTTTCGTGTAATACTATTGTGATTAGTGTTACCTTACCAAAGGATCACTTTTTCTCCATTTTTTTTATTTAGCACTGCTTATATGTAAAGTAGTTGCGTTCTGTACCATAGTTATCTTATGTTTTAAATCATCACATAATGTTGACTGTATAATGATACATTTGATTGTGAATATGAATTTGCTGATTTGTTTTTGTTACACAATTTGTGATATAATGTCATTACGTTCTTTTTATACCTTTACCGACCTAAACGTGATTAGCCTTTGCCACCCGTATACAGCCAAGCCAGCACATACATTCGAGCAGTCTGAACAACTTTTTTCTATTCTAATGTTGAACTCTTATACACTTCAAATGGAATATACCAAACTCGACTTCACGAATTAAGCAGGTCAATTTTTAATAACCAGAAAGTTGATAAATAAAGTTTACAATAGTTTTTTTGGCTTCAGTTGACTTTCTATAATAAGATATATCATAATATAATATACATGTATATGTAAAGAATTATTGTTAACCATTACATGAAAGTTATGTTATAAAATGTATATATTTTACTGTGTCCTTTATTATACCTTATACATGCACCCGGTGATACATGTATCATGCTCTTCAGGATGAATAGATATAACTAATTGGAATTATAGTATGTGTGTTTAATTATATTGCTTTATCTGAATATTACGGAAGCGTATCAGGGCCTACAGTTGGTGAGATGTTTTGCGATAAGTCGATTTATTTTCATTCGCATTGATAAGATGTTTTTGCATTTCTCAATACAATTTACTGACAAACATGAGAAGCTTTTAGGCATTGCGACTGATTTTTTCTCGATATGTTTGAAGCTTTTGTCTCTTCGACAGAACTCCTGTCGAAACTTTTGATTTCACGACTTTGCTGAACTATTTTGTAAGACGCAAAGACCTTACTCGCATTGACAAATAGCTCACGTAATTCAACAAAGTTTTTTTTGCAATGATTAAAAACTTCTACGTATTACGTATTAATCATAACGTCTTCATGTAACGTTTTACGTATTACGTATTAATCATAACGTCTTCATGGAATGTTTTTGGTCAAAACGAGAAAAAACGAGTTGACACGACGTGAAACTTTTGATAGGTGGAGGCCCTGATAACCTTCCGTAGAATATCATATACATATACATATATCATATATTCCTTATATATTTGGAAGTTTATTTTCTTTAAATACGGCTTATATATACTCAATTGACTTTATCTATTCTAAGACATATCATAATATAATTATCCCTGATACGCTTCCGTATATAATTACGGAAGCTTATCAGGGCCTTCACTTATCTAAAAGTTGCACGTCATGTCAACTTGTTTCTTCTCGTTTTGACCAAAAACATTCCATGAAGACGTTATGATTAATACGTAATACATAAAACATTCCATGAAGACGTTATGATTAATACGTAATACGTAGAAGGTTTTAATCATTGCAAAATAAAATTTTTGAATGCCTCCAGATTCATGCAAATTTTCATGAAAAATTGAAAATGTGTTTAAAAGTAACATAACGTGAAGTGAACAAAGAATGTAATTTACACCTTGCAAAAGGCACTTACAATCTACGTAAATTACCAAAGAGAGGTCAAAATATACATAAAAACCTCATACTGCGTTAGTAACGCAGTGGAATTAAAGTGATTTCTACCGCAATATCAGTCATTAATCGCACATAACATGTAAATAATAAATTAGATATTTAATCTTTTTATTTTTCCTAAGATTTGAATACATGTTTCTAAAAATTGAATTTCTTGAAATATTTTGGCTCATCTGGAGGCGTGCAGCTTAAACTGTGTCCTCAAGATACAAGAAGAGATACAAATGTAAATATAAAATGTAAAAAGACTAATACCTTTCTGGAGGAATTGACCATACAGGCAACCGGTGGCGAGTATAAATAGACTCAAAGTCACACACACAGCGTGTGCGACAGCATTAAATGATTTGATAATGGTGTACACTATGACTAAAGTGCATGAAACTGACACGCGTTTATTCCAGCTCATGAACGTATCTTTGTATCTTTGGGCTGAGCAGGCGGTGGGTGGAGCTCTGAAGCCAGGGCCTATATCCGCCATGGAGAAACATCATACGGGTATGATCATATAATCTTCAATGTGGCACTTTAGTGCCATTCCATGAAAAGCGACCACCGAAGTAAAATTTGTTTGTGCCTTAAACGAGAAAACTATGGGCGGTACTAGAAGGTGATCAGAGCTCGAGGTTATGAGGCCTATATGATAAGGAGCCTATTGTATATGTATTGCGTCTAGACATAGCATTTTTCCATAGGCATTATTGGGGCGTATATAAAGAGACATAAATGATTGTACATTGAATAAATAGACCGGATTGGAACTTGGCCCAACGAACTATTGAGAAACATTTATTTACGTTTTACCCTGCTCACATGTTATATAACATGACATGAGTATAACTTTTAGCCAAATGTCACCCATTTATATACCATAAAATGTTTGTTTATTGTATGTCATTAAATTGTTTGTCATTTATATTCTATAAATGTCTGGCATTTTATATTTTGTCTGATATTTTGCATAGCCACTCAATTTAAGATTTTAAAGCTACATGGCCCCAGATGAGTCCAAAATATTTCAATGAAGTCAAACTTGAGCAAAAATGAACTAAGATGAAAGGAAAAGTAAAAAGTTTCAAAAATTCAAGTAATATTTGAAATATAATGTGTGATTAATGATGGATTTTTCAGTATTTATAACTACTCCGTTACTAACGCAGTAAAGGCTATTGATGCTTATTTTGACCACTTTTTGGTAATTAATGTGGTTTGTAAGTGCCATTGATAATGTGTAAATTGCTTCCTTTTGGTCCCTTCACAATATTACACATTCAAATACATTTTCAAAATTTTAATGAAAATTAGCATGAATATGGAGGCGTGCTGCTTTAACTTTCATGAATTCACTATAATTACAAAATTATGAATTTTTTATCAAGAATTCTTGAAGTTGAAATCACGAATTTGTCAAGTTGATCTTGTGAAACTCAAAACGTAAAATCGTTAAGTTAATTTCTTCAAGTTGAAATCATAAATTCGTGTTGTTGAAATCGTGAATTCGAGATCATTAATTCTTGTAACTGTTATGATAAGGCAATGCAGTTAGAATATAAAACTCAAATACTGTAACTCCGGTTAGTTATATTTATTCATCCTGATGAGCATGATAGTAGGTACATTGTATATGATAAGACACAATAAATTATATACATTTTCTGAAATAACTTTCATGCAATTGTTAACAATAATTCCATGCATATCTACTTTTTTATTATATTATGATGTGTCTTATAATAGTAAAGTCAATCGAGTATATATATAAACCGTATTAAAAAAAACTTCTCAAAGAGAGTTTACATGTATATGATATTTACGGAAGCTTATCAGGGCCTCCACTTATCTTAAAGTTTCATGTCATGTCAACTTGTTTTTTCTCGTTTTGACCAAAAACAATCCATGAAGACGTTATACTTAATACACAATACGTTAAACATTCCATGAAGATGATTAATACGTAATACGTAGAAGTTTTTAATCATTGCAAAAAGACTTTGTGGAATTACGTGAGCTATTTATCAATGCGAGTAACGTCTTTGCGTCTTACTAAATATTTCAGCAAAGTCGTGAAATCAAGAAGTTTCGACAGGATTTTTGTCGAAGAGACAAAAGTTTCAAGCTCATCGAGAAAAATTCAGTTGCAATGCCTCAAAGCTCCTGATCTTTGTCATTAAATTTTATCGAGAAATGCAAAAACATCTTATCAATGCAAATAAAAATAAGTCGACTTAGCGCAAAACGTCTCACCAACTGTAGGCCCTGATACGCTTCCGTAGATATTCAGATAAAGCAATATAATTAAACACACATACTATAACTCGTATTAGTTATATCTATTCATTCTGAAGAGCATGATACATGTATAAGGTATAATAAAGGAAACAGTAAAATATATACATTTTATAACATAACTTTCGTGTAATGGTTAACAATAATTCTTTACATGTACATGTATATTATATTATGATATACTGAATCTAAGAATCTTATAATAGAAAAGCCAACTGAAGCCAAAAATCTGATGTAAACTTTATCTTATCAACTTTCTGGTTATTAAAAATTGACCTGCTTGCCGTGAAATGGAGTTTGGGAGATTCCATTTGAAGTGTATAAGATTTCAGTATTAGGATAGAAAAAAGCTGATCAGACAACTCGAATGTACATGCTTAACTTGCTTGGCTGTATATGTAGCAATCTTTACTACGCTGGAATTAAAATAACTCTTTTTCCTCCTTTAAACTTTTATTTCTTTAATTTTCAACATAACAATCCTTTACTTTTAACGAACTAAAACGAATTAACTCAAACAAGATAACAATTCCTTTTATATACCACGTAAGGCACGTAATAATCATGAAAATCATGTACATATAATTAAACATAAACCCGCCGGTGACAAACCCGGCGGTTACAACAAATACCCGGCGGTCACAACAATTAAGTGCCAAGCCGGCGGATAAAAACAAAATAAACAATAATATTATCGCGTTCTTCGCGACACTCCCGGCCAAAGTTTATAGTTACTCAAAATCATCATAGTATTCTTGATCGGCACTCATGTGTGTCTCAATTTCATTTTGTCCAATGTATGTCGTCTTCTTTGTAAATGTTAATATCAAAGTTTGAGTCCTTGTTGTAGCCTTTGACGGCACTACATCGGTGCATTTGTTGTCAATGTTTCCATGTGCAGACTCACCATCACTGCTTAAAATCACTTCATCATCCTCAACACTTATATCACTATACTGGTTATCACAAACATCACTTTCATAGTCGTTGTTGTTTTCATCTTTTGAACTTACGTCACTATTTATATCATATGTAGCACTCACGTTATCACTAATATAATCATGATCACTTTCTTCACTTCTTTGCTGCGTATTAATGTAATCACTTTCCTGTTCACAATCATTATAGTCAAGTTCGCCGCCGTTGTCATCTTCTACCAAGCTATTATCATTTGTTTCATCTCGTTCCTCATTTTCCATATCATTTACGTTTATTTCACATTCTCTCTCATCGTTATCTTCTGCTTGCATTTCATTTTCTTCATTAGGTATTCCACACTCTTTTTGTTTTTCTTCATCTTTATAATTATTGGTTAAATGTTCATCATTTTGCAGAAGAGTCAGGTCAAAATCCAAGATTGTGTTAGCAAACTGTTTTTCGTCGTGATTTCCATCTCTTTCTGCTAACAAACTAAAAATACTTTCATCTTCGCTCACGTCTTCATAATATTCACTCTCTTTTAAATCTCCTCTTTTTGCACGTAACGCTGCATCCCTTGCCAAGTCTGCTCCATATCTGTGTTTTAAAATCAAATGTTTGCTGAGGTAACTTCTTCTTATGAATCTTGACGAACAATCTTTTTCCACACAGTTCCAATATTCTAAGATTGTATGCTTTTCTTTGATATGCCTTTTCAAATTTCTTATATTTTTATAACTTTTATTGCAGGTATCGCAATAGCACAAAGGCATTTTTTCTTTTTTTATGTCCTTTCTGGTCAATTGACACAAGCATAATGATTCAATTCTTATTGTATTATACTTATAAAAATTTCGTGCAAATCTTTCAAATTTTTTACTCCGCCGCACGATTTTCACGTGAATTTCATGTTGTAGTTTTCACTCTAATACTATGCTCCGCCGTCTAAAACTTTGCGCGTGAATTTCATGGCTAATGTTTTATCGCCAAGTATGCTCCGCCGATGTATACATTTTTTTTAAAATTACACATGTTGTAAGCGACATTTTTTTTTTATAAAAACGACTTTTATTCGTTAGCAATTTAATTGCTTTTTGATCAAGATTTTAGCACTTTCTGCTGCTTTGCGGGGCGGGCGCGATATTTGCTCGTATTCATCTATTTTATCATTTTCAGTACTTTGAGTTAATTTATGATTGATAGTTGAGGACATCTCAATAGGAAATAATAGTTTGAGTGGACGTTTCAGCACTTTTCCCGATGGTATTTTAACCATTGCTGAGCGTACATTTCCGTCCTGACTTGGGATTAAATCCACTATTCTCCCAAGTTTCCAGTTTCCGCGAGGTAAATCCTCTTTTAATAATACTATATTTCCAACACATGGCTCAATATGTGATTGAACTCGACCCGTTTTAATTTTTGATTGAGTTCTTTCTCGAAGATTTAACAAATAGTCATTGCGCCATATAACCCAAAACATGTTGAGTAATTTCTGACCTTTTTTCCATATATTCATTAGGCGATCACTTGAATTGTAATGCGCTATAAAATCTGTATCTTTCTCGTCTATATGAGACTCTGGAATACCGATACTGGGGTTTAATGTTAAGAAATGACTTGGAGTTAATGCAATATTTGAATTGACGTCATCGCCGACGTAAACTAGGGGTCTTGAGTTCACAACCGCTTCGGCCTCTTTAACAAATGTTTGTAATTGAATTAATGTTAGAAGCCGTCGGCCTAATGTTTTCCGAAACACCCTTTTTACTTAACCTACAAGTCTTTCATAGAAACCTCCCATCCATGGAGCAAGTTCGGTAATAAAATTCCATTTGATACTGGAATTTGACACATATGTTTGCACTTCTTCACTTTGAAGCATTTTGTACCAGATTTTTTCAATAACGGAGCATGCAGCTTTAAATTGTGACGCATTGTCACTCAATATTTGAACAGGGGTGCCTCTTTGAGAAATAAATCTTCGAAGACATAGTAGAAATTCTTCTGTAGACATATCCATCACTATTTCAAGATGAATAGCTCGTGTTACAAAACAGGTGAATAAACATATCCACACTTTTGATTGTCCCTTATCAGATTTGATATAAAGTGGTCCTAAATAATCAAGTCCTACACGTGAAAAGGGTTTACATTCCGTGACTCTCGATGTAGGTAGTGGTGGCATTTGTGGAATCTTATATGGGCCACCATCAAAGCGACGACATGTTGAACACACGTGTAACACTGACTTTACCACTGCTCGACCATGTGGAATCCAAAATCTTTGTCTTGTATATGCTAATGTTTGAGAAACACCACTGTGTAATAGATCTTTATGCATTTTGTCAATCACGAGATAGGTCAGACGGTCTTTTTTCGGTAAAAGCACTGGATGTTTTGCACTTTCAGTCAGATCAGCGTTTTCTAATCTACCTTTACATCGCAATAAACCTTTTTCATCAATAAAGAGACCAAACTGAATCCGCAAATTGTTTTTCTTTTCATTTTTAATGGCATCATAAACACACGCAAAATGTTTTCTTTGAACATGTTTTAACCAAATTTCTTCTGCCTCTTTAAGCTCAACGTATTTTAAGCTTTTACTTTCGCAGCATGGCAATTTTCGTAGTTTTCGTACAAATCTTACAGCAAATGCTGTCACTCTTAACAGTTTTGTAAGTGAAGAAAACTTTGCAATGTCAATTTCAAAAGGTGACGAAAGAACACTTAAGTCATTATTTTCTTTTTCAGAAACAGTCATAACTTTTTCTGAATTGTCGTTTTCATATTTATCACAAATATCACTATCACTTTTGACACTTATCCACATGTCTTCTGGCTCTTGTAACCATAATGGACCATGCCACCACAGTTTGCCATCGCTAATTGTTTTTACCGAACAGCCTCTTGATGCTATATCCGCTGGGTTCTGGTTGCCTAACACATATTCAAATTTTATACCTTCGTCTGATTTTATCTCACTAATTCTGTTTTTTACAAACACTGGTAATTCTTTCTTACTTTGGATCCAGTGAAGAACACACTTAGAATCTGTCCATAAGTATTTTTCTTTGATGTTTAACTGTAGCTGATTACTCACGAATTTCAAACAGCGCACTCCTATCAAAACTGCCATTAATTCTAATCTTGGGATAGTTATTTCTTTCAAAGGCGCAAGCCTACTTTTAGCAAACACTAAATCAACTTTTGTTTCTAATTTGCTTTTCTGATGTAAATATATTGCCGTAGCATATGCTTTTGTCGAAGCATCACAAAAACACAACAATCTGTATTCTGTATCTTCGTCGTACTTCTGCAGTGAAACAGATCGAGGTATTTTAAAATCAGAAATCGATTTTATATCACTTTTCACAGTTGACCAAATTTCACAAATGTCATCATCCTCTATTAAATCATCCCAATCATATTTTTTCTTCCATATTGATTGCAGAAGGATCTTTCCTTCCAGCACCACTGGACACAACAATCCTAGAGGATCGAAAACAGATGCAATCTGCTTTAAAATTATACGTTTTGTCAAAATGCTTTCATCACTCGACACAGATGATTCATTTAGAGTAAGTGTGTCGTTTTTTGTATCCCATGTATGTCCGAGTACTTTGATAGAGATACTTTTTGTTTGGTCTGTTGTCGGAATCATTTCATTTAATTGAGAACTATTTGATGCCCATTCTCTCAGATTCATAGAGGCATTAGCAAAGATTCTTTTACTAGTCTTGTACAAATCATATGCTTCTTCCCATGTATTTGTACCTGTAATTACGTTATCAACGTAGATATCACCTTTAATTTTGTCAGCAATGTTGTTGTTGTATGTTTCTAGATGGCTCTCAAGAGTGGCACCTAACAAAAAGGGGCTTGATATTATACCAAATGGAACACGACAGAATCTGAATTCTTGAACATTATCACTACTGACAATTGGTCTTTCTATATCTTTTATCCACAGAAATCGTGTGACATCCCGCTGATCCTGCTGTAGGCCAATTTGTAAAAAAGCCTTTTCAATATCCGAAACCAATGCCACTTGATGATGTCTAAAACGCATCAATAATCCACAAAGATCACGAATCATAACTGGACCTCGATATAAACACTCGTTCAAACTTTTATTGTTTCTATCTGATTTTGCAGATGCGTCATAAACAACACGTAATTTGGTAGTTGATTTGTGTGGGGTAATTACTGCATGGTGTGGAATATAATGCACTAAATCACTCATCGAACTTCTATCTATTTTCTCGATTACACCTTTACTAAGTTGGTCTTGTATCACTTCATTATATTTTTTCAACACTTCTGGTTTGTTTTTCATTCTTGCTATATTTGATTTCAATCGAGCCAATGCTAGCTCTCTGTTTTCTGGCAATTCTGGAGTTTCTTCTTTCCAAGGCCATGTTACTTGATACATTCCGTTGTCATATATTAATGTATCTTTAAATTTCATTAAAGCAATTTCATCATTTGTATTATCTTGACTGTCTGTTATTCCTAACGATTCGATCTTCCAAAAGTCTTCCAACTCTGGTTTGGTTTGAACAACTGAATCAACACTAGCAAACACATTTGTGGTGCTTACACATACATTTGATCCATGCGTAAGAATAAGCATATTTGTTTCATTTTCATATACACTTGTTTCCTGTATTCGGCCTGTAAGTATCCAACCAAGCTTTGAAGCCAGGAGATAAAGTCCTGGTTTTACTTCCATTCTTTGACACATTACAATATCTAGGTAATAATCATTTCCTAGTAATAAGTCCACTTTTGATGACTCTTTATTTGATGAAAGATCTTCAGCCATGTTCAAATTTGTGAACAAATGTTTCATATGTTCGTCAGAAAATAATTTAGCTGATTTTTTCTGTACGTTTCCACTAATTACCGGTACAATATTGGCATTATTTCAATGTATTTGCCAGTACTAAGTTTCAAGCACACTTTTGTAGAATATGTTTTAATTACCTTAGGTTTGTCCGATCCAAAGGTAACTAACTTTATTTCTTCTTCTTTTAATTTCTTTACTCCAAGTTTGCTCGCTAGAGACTCTGTAATGTATGTCCTTTGCGATCCCGAATCAAGCAGAATACGTGCATTTTCACTCGTAGTCCCAAATGGACTTTTTACTTCCGTTCTTGCTGTTTGCATTAAAACACTTTCATCACAGGACACAAGAGCACTTTCTTCATGGAGTTCATTGTTGTTCAATGAGTCTGTTATTTCAGGATTAACAACACAAAATTCACCTAATCTAAACTTTTTAGGACATAAACTACGATGGTGCACATTAAATCCACCACAGTATACACAATTCTTTTTTCCTTTACATTCAGCGGAATTGTGACCTAATTTAAGACACTTTAAACAGCTTCCTATAAGTTTTCCTTTTCGTTCTGCAATCGTGCGAAAAGTAGGACACTCATCACTCCAATGTTTTTTATCACAATACCGGCATTTCTTAAACTTCTTGTCAGCAACATTTCTTACTTCACTTGTAACCAGAGCTTCAGCTGAACTTAAAGATTTACCTGAATGGTCCTGTGTACTCTGGTTTCCGTAGAAAACTTTACCTCTTTGCTTCTGCTGGTTAGGAGAATTCATTTGTTTATATCTCCGTGATTCTGAGAATGGTAGCTTTTGCTCCGCTTTCTCACGAGCATTCACATAAGCTTTGAACTTATCGCGAAGATTTGTCACTGTCCATTTATCCTCTGTTCCTTTATGCATTTCAAGTTGAAGCAAAACTTCTTGAGGTAGTTTCGAACGTATCATAGAAACAAATACATCCTGATTTATGTTTTGATTCAGGACTTCGAGACTTCGAAGATGTTTTTCAACTTGGTCGAAAAATCCCCTCAAACTTTCAACTCTGTTACAGGCTGGAGTTAAATTTATCATCTGATTGTAATGTAGATCAATCACTTCTTGTATATTTCCGAAACGTTCTTTCAAGATATGAATTGCCAACATGTAATTTTCGTCAGAAAGAGCGAGACCCATTACAGCACGTTTTGCCTCTCCGTACAGCTTATTTCTCAAATATGTGAATTTCTCAATATTTGACAGCGATTTATTCTTATGTATTGTACACTCATACGAGTCCCAAAATTCCAACCATTTAAGCTTATCACCATTATATGATAGCAAGTCTAACTTTGGCAACTTTACCGATGATCGCATCGCTTCTTTTTTCTCGTTCATTTCTAGAATTGTCTGTTGTTGTTTCATTTGACTAACAACAATATTTTGCATATCATGCTGTAGTTCTAAAATTTGTTGTGCACTTACCGTTTCACTTTTATGTTTTGCATCAACAAATTTCTCCTTCAATTTGTTAAGAGAGAAACACATATCCACAACTCCTTCACAAATTGTGCAATCTTCATCAAGAATAGATTTTATCAACTCGTCATCTTTTTCACTAAGTACACATATCAATTTATCCGTTTGATTTTCAAGTTTTTCACGGAAAACATTCATTTTCTCGACACATTTTTCAGCACGATTAATATATTCCTCTTTGTCACTAAAATCAATATCACTTTCCAAAATCACTTGCGCATTTTTAATTTCCGTTTTTAAGATGTTGAGATATCTAGTCCGCACACCTTTCAGGTTCGCCATTTTGAATCACTGAATGAACTTCCGACAATTTTTTACTCTTTTGAATTTAATTCCATATTTTAGAACTTATTTATTTTCGATTTTCTATCCGGTTCGCGGGACCATCAATGTAGCAATCTTTACTACGCTGGAATTAAAAGAACTCTTTTTCCTCCTTTAAACTTTTATTTCTTTAATTTTCAACATAACAATCCTTTTCTTTTAACGAACTAAAACGAACTAACTCAAACAAGATAACAATTCCTTTTATATACCACGTAAGGCACGTAAAAATCATGAAAATCATGTACATATAATTAAACATAAACCCGCCGGTGACAAACCCGGCGGTTACAACAAATACCCGGCGGTCACAACAATTAAGTGCCAAGCCGGCGGATAAAAACAAAATAAACAATAATATTATCGCGTTCTTCGCGACAGTATACGGGTGGCAAAGGTCAATCACTTTCAGGTCAGACAGGATTTAAGGGGTAAAGAACGTAATGACATTATATCACAAATTGTTTAAAAAAACAAATCAGCAAATTCATATTAACAATCAAATGTATCATTATACAGTCAACATTATGTGATGATTAAAAACATGAGAAAACGATGGTTCAGAACGCAACTACTTTACATATAAGCAGTGCTAAATAAAATCAAAGCACTGAAAGCACTGGAGGGTCGCTTGCGCTGACAAATTTATATGACATTATATTGCTGGTGATCACTTGAAAGGCCAAATTTCCTGTCCTTTTGCAACTTTTTTTAAAGGGTCAAGTTATATTCAAGTGGAAATGACTGAGTACAAAGGAAAGTGCAATATTTTGCCATATGATTTTATTCAGGGAGATTTATCATTGACATCCAACAATTACAACACGGTTTATCAAAAGTACTAAAAACCAGTATTTTTTCTCAAATGGTTCAGTTGAGATCGAAAAACCAAATTGCTTTATATCCTCAAAATAATACTTTGAAAGTTGGATAAATTTTTAAGAGTACACTACTGACAGAAGCAAAAGCTGGAAGTAGATAACCAAGTCCTCTATTAACAATGACTAAGCATTGATAATTTCATCTACTTATAAGGCATATGAAAAACATGCTCATTCTTGGGGATTATAGTTATTACCAATCTGATATTCAAGTTATAATTAACACTTGTGCATATAGACTGGATAGTGTTCAAACAACTCGAAAAGAAAATGGTTGAAAAATCTTTCTGTTTATATGCATACTAGTAATAAGTGTTCCATCAGGGATAAACTTTCAGAGATTGTAAATACATGACTTTTCAATAACACAATTTCATCAAGAGAGATTCATGAAATTCTCACAAAACAATAAGTAAAGTATGATCAGTTAAAAATAGAACTATCACTTAATGTGATTAATACCCCCACAAGACTGCTTTGGACATTAGGATGTAACAGAATACCTTGTAAAAGAATTGAAATAGAGTTATGTTTGTGGGCAATTAAAGATAGTAAGTTGTGGTTCTTGTATGTTGCATTTCCTTTCAATGTGGTTGACCATTGATGAAGTTTTATTGAATTACTCTATAATAAGTCCAGAAAGACAAGGAAAAAGATCAATAACTCTATAAAATACTGCAGATTGAGTAATGGTTATTGTACACTGCACTTTCTCTCATTTCGCTTGACCATTGTATGAATTTGTATTGAATTCAAACTACATGTACTAGTTTTCAAGTTATGCACTGGACAAAAGTAATTAAGGGCACTAACTGTAGGGTCATTCCTGCAAAGTTTTATTACTGTGCAGTCTTTGGTTTCGGAGGAGATTTGTTTAAAGAAAATTTTTGACGACCCACGACAACTGATGGTGGGGGATCACAATAGTTCACCATGAAGCACGTTTGCTCTCAGGTGAGCTAAAAAGTAATGATTCAAAATATAAGTTTTGTGGATGACCTCGGCAATGCCATGACCTGTAAACAATACCTCTATTTTTTTAAAAAGAAAAAAGTCGAGCTAAAAAGGGGTATAACAGCATCAAAAAATAATTTATTGAAACTAAATCTGCTTTTGATACTAACATGGCAAATGTCAACTCACTTCATTTCCTTCATAAGTTGTCCTGCAGAAATCAATTGAACACCATAACTTATAACATGCTTTCAGTAAAAAAATGACATTACTTTTAGATTATTTCACAATAAAGTATAATTTCAAAAGTAGCCAGACCCTTATTTGAATGAGGATGTAAAAGCCTATAAACAAAACAGAAATTTTGTGGGAAAATACATTTATTTCTCAGAAAAAATTGTGATAAATAAAAAGTAGATAATTAATATTGCAAATCATGAAAGGAAATTAAACAAATTCAGGAAATAATGACAGAATCCACTTTCAAATCTGAACATTGAAAATCTAATGATTCTACACAGAAAAAAAAAAAAAATCTGCTCTCTTTGCTTGTATGATGGCCTATAGACCTCGGACATAATAAGGTTGTTATATCTGAACTACTTTCAGTCACAGTAAAAATAGCAGCCTCCATTTACCAACCATTGTGCCAAAGTATACATTGTATATGCTTTTTTCAATGCCATTTCATGAAAATATTAAATCTGCCTGTTCACTCTATGAAATATATTTGGATCTTGCATGCAAAAAGAAACAAATACCCATTATATGATATGTTTCCAAATTTCTTTCATACTTACAAAAATGATATATTTATATGAGTAAATTAGTTTCATTAACAAGCAAAACTGTAATTTCATTGTTTCTGACGAACACTCTGTATTGTTTTTGTTAAACAGCCATACTCCAAGACCGACAAGTTTTCTGCGGCATTAAAATTATCCAAAATTAACAATATTGGGAAATAATGGAAAACAAAAATATTAACAAATACATGTATAAAATAAAAACCAATGTATATTAATTTAAATGTCCATTTATAGTTGAAACTGCGAAACCCTTTAGCTATGTCAACGTCTGAAGGATTCCAGTTCAAATTAATCTTGTCTTGTACTCCCATAACTGAAAGCTACAAATATCTGAAAATAACAATATATTTGTCATGTTGCAAGTAATTGTTTATCTGGCACTGAATATATTCAACATCATAAAGACATGTGCTCCATACATAACAATTTACCAGTAAAATCGAAGACATATTTCTTATATATATTATATATATATATATTCTTTATACATATCTTTGCATGAATTATCATAGTTAAGCTTACACCACTATGTAAAAATGCTAGTTTCTGCCCCTCACAAGAAAATCAAAAGCAAGCAATGGATGGTGTGATTATACACAGACTTAATTAACTTTACGAAATGCTGCTGAAAAACAAACAAGAATATTGTCAATTTCTTTCAATTAAAATGATAGGACAAATATTGTTTCAATTAATGCTGCTGTACAAGAATAGAACATCACTTCTAACTGCAAGCAGAACCATAGTGTATTCTGGTGTCAGGCAAAATAATTATTATCGCTTTTTTTTTGTATCTCGATGCTTTCTTTAGATGGATAACCAGTGAAAAATTTAAAGTGTACATACCTAAAATTGGTATATTCTGTATGCTGAAGTTTCCTTTTTGAATACAGAAATTAAACTCCTTCACATAGTAAGCTTCACTTCAATTAAAGTTGTTCCAAGAAATAATACATTGTTCTACTTTGGTACTTCAGACAGCTTCATTTGAACAAGAGTGGGCAACTTCTTACTGCAAAGTGGGAGCAAGGTTTTAGAAAAACAATTAAACAGCATAATTTGTTCAAATTAAAAGAAACTAGAAGCAAGGGCATAATCTGTTATTTGTTTTTTCAGAAAAATAATTGAAAATTTAACTTTTGAATGGATCATTTCACTATGAGCATACATTTCAATTTTTTAATTTTCGTAGTTGTAACAGTTTACAGTAATATATATTTTTTGTATGATTACTAGTCCTACAATGAATTATGTAATTCTGGAAAGGAAAATGTTTAATTAAATACTTTGTTCATGATTTTGAATTAGTAAAGGTCTGCAATGATATCAGTCAAACATTAGAAAGTAAAAACCCTGATATACAAACAACATCGGTGCAAGTTGAAAATTTGGAAAAAACCCCTTAAACTTATAATTCATTTATTCAATCATTTTTCCACATAATCTAATAGTAAAACATGATGATATTTGTCACAAAATCCTAGGCTTTCAGGCATATGCACCATGCAACAAGTGATTACAGTAAACATGTTTTAAAAAGTTTGATGACTGTAATTAATTACTAAAGGGAATCAGGTAATTACCACAAAGATGACAAACCTGTAGAACCTTATGAAAGGAAAGACCTTTAATGTACATGCAATTCAACAACAGACCTAAATTTATTATTGGAAAAAAGAACAAACCTGTATGATTTTTTTTTTCTTCTCTGCAGCAGAAACCTCTTCCTTACAGATAATTGCAAAGAATCTATTAAATAGGATCATGATGATTCATCATCACGATGGAAGAACTTCATGGCTGAAACTTCATCACTTTTTTTGCTATAAACAAACTACCAGTTTGAGCTATCTTTTCCTGTATACATGTATATAACTTGTTCTGAACCTACATGTACTGTACCTTCACTGTTACAAACAGTAACCATGACAGAAGTCACCTAAAAAAAGCAAAACAAATTTAATGTCTTATAATATATTAAAGATCATGCACAAGTAATCAGTATTAAAGCAAGCCCAAGTTAATCATTTTACACACAATTTTTTTTCGCACATATGATATCGTGCATTAAGATATATATAAAATAAATAAACTTTTTAAAGGTCCACCTTAAACCTTAGATAAAGATAACATTTTTATTTTTTCAAAACTTTCCTTTTACATATCTTGTTGCATTCTAAATAGTTACATGTACTCATTGGACCATGTACAATGTAGATAATGTTATTCTTGGCAATTGGATATAATTACATTAATTCAGTATTTTGTATTTGTAAGTCAAAAATAATACTTTGCCTCACATTTTGCTACCTTT